GATATCCTTCAAGGCTCCTTCCTACATCTGCTCCTTTATTTTCTGTGAGTAATTGCTGTAGAGAGTATTAAGTCTGGCTTTTCAATCCTGCCTCTTACTGTAGATTCAGTTAGGATTCAGTTAGGAAGTGGCTGTGTATGTGCAGGTCTATCATATATCCCTGATTGCCATGGCTATGAAAGTCTCCAGTTTTGCAGACCACATGCCTAAACAAGGCATCAAGTTTCCAGGTCCTCCGACCATGTTTGAGCTATGCTGCTCCCTCGGACATGTTGTCATGTAATTGTCAACTGTCCTGCTTGAACTGTAGGTAGCCCAGAACTGGACACAGTACTCCAGGTGAGGTCTCGACCAGAAGCTAGATTCATACAGTAGGCAACTATTACTTGACCCTTGGATCTAGAGTAAGCTATACTGCCTATTGAGAATAGGCCAGCCCAGAATTGCATATGGCAGTATTAGTTGTCCAGCTGTACCATACACCACACTGTTGGACTCGAAGTGTCAAGTCTTGTAGGTCAACCAAGACTCCTAGATCCTTTTCACATGTACATTGCTCTCAAGCCAGGTGTCTCCCATCTTGTATTTGTGCTCTCATTTTTTTGCCCAAGTGCAATACTTTACATTTCTCCCTGTTAAAATTCATCTTGTTTGTTTTGGCCCAGTTCTCTAATCTGTCAAGGTCATTTTGAAGTGTGATCCTGTCCTCTGGGGTGTTAGCCACCCCTCCCAATTTGGTGTCATCTGCAAATTTGATCAGGATGCCCTTGAGTCCATCATCCAAGTCGTTGATAAAGATGTTGAATAAGACCGGGCCCAAGACAGTCCATCATCCAAGTCGTTGATAAAGACGTTGAATAAGACCGGGCCACCTCCCCCTGTCTACACTTATTTTTACTTTGATCAGGATTTCCTCCTGTTCTCAGTCACACACTCTGTGTCAGCGCCTTGAAAGAAAAGTTGTTCCCTTCTGCTGACACCCCCACTCCACCGGGTTTCCTTTCCAGACAATAGCTATTCTGGTCTCCCTTTGCGGATTTCCTTCCAGTGAATCGCACCAAGCCGTCAACTCAATGGCTCCCTTCCCTATTCCAATCTAGGAAAGCTAGCAGGGAAAGGCTGGATATAAGCACACCTGGTATCACAGGTGTTGAGAGACTGCCCAGAGTTCAGCAGGCAGGCTCAGCTTCTGGTCTTTTAGCACCTAAGGCAAAAAATTACATTGCATAGCCATATGCTTTCCTCCCATTATGGTGGGCCCTTCTCCCACAACTTGGGCTGCGGTCCTCATCACGATGCGTGTTCTTGTTGGGATCCTCACCTCCAGCCTGCTCCTCTCTGTGAAATCTAGCTCCGCTGATATTTGTCCCTTGCACCAAATTGTGGCAATAACCGTAACAACATCTACAGCGTAATTCTATGCTTGTCTACTGCATTTGAAGTACAGTGGTACCTCGTGTTAAGAACTTAACTCGTTCTGGAGGTCCGTTCTTAACCTGAAACTGTTCTTAACCTGAGGTACCACTTTAGCTAATGGTGCTGCCGCGCCGCAATTTCTGTTCTCATCCTGAAGCAAAGTTCTTAACCCGAGGTACTAATTCTGGGTTAGCGGAGTCTGTAACCTGAAGCGTATGTAACCTGAAGCGTCTGTAACCAGAGGTACCACTGTATTTCTGGTATTTCACCTTTTTGAAATAATTCTTGGCAGCCCTGTGGGGCCCTCCCCCATCCTGTTTGGCTGCCGTCCGAAGCATAGTTACTTGAAAAGCTCAGTTAGTAACGTTCATGTTCACATTCAATAGCATTCATAACAAAGAAAATGTGTGTAGGTTTGATTTTTGCATACTCAGCTTTGCCATGAATTCTCCAGGTGTTAAAGGTCCATTAGGTCCAGTTGCGGACGACTCTGGGGTTGCGGCGCTCATCTCGCTTTACTGGCTGAGGGGGCTGGCATACAGCTTCCAGGTCATGTGGCCAGCATGACTAAGCCACTTCTGGAGAACCAGAGCAGCGCATGGAAACGCCATTTACCTTCCCGCCGGAGCGGTACCTATTTATCTACTTGTACTTTGACGTGCTTTCAAACTACTAGGTTAGCAGGAGCAGGGACCGAGCAACGGGAGCTCACCCCATAGCGGGGATTCAAACCGCCGACCTTCCAATTGGTTCAAGTCACATCAAGCTTGCCCCAAAGATTCAGAACTATCTCAGAACTTCACAAGGGTGTTTTGACATTTTCCTGCAACCCAGTTTGATATACGTTTGTTTTCTCCAACCAACCCGCCCCCCCGGCAAGCTCTACATAAGTGGAAAATGCCCAGCATGGAGAAGTAGCTCTATATGTGCTCTCCATGCGTTTCCTTTGACAGGAAACGATTTTAACCACATTTTACTTCCAGTAATGTGGAGGTACAGTGGGCCTACCTTATCAAAGGCAAAAACGCACAGAGGGGAACCTCCAGAACTGCTCCCAATCTCATGAGGTGGTGGGTTGCTTACCTGGTGCAATGGAGGGAGGGAATATAAATAAATGGGACAGTAGAGAATGGTTTTCCATTAATCTATTTGCTTCTCCCTGCCGACTAAAGCAAGCACATCTGGTTAAGGGATGAAGCTCCCCAAGTTGGCAAGTAAAGGGTGGACTTATGGTACACATCAGGGGAGATCCAGGGCTGATTCCACCTCACTTGGCCCAAGCCCTTGGCCCAAGATCCTCCTGAACTGATCTGACTTTGGGTTTGGCTGAATCCAGTGCACAGCCCTGCTAGTTACCTCCAAAGATTCCTGGTGGAAGAGATACTCCCCCTACGTGGATTTTGGGAAATGCTGTCAAGAGATCTCTATTGGCTTGTGCTGGGGAAGGCATAGATCCGGGTTAAAAAACAGACCCAAACTCCTTTCCCAAATCACTGGAGTGCCCCGGGGAAATGATTCACTGAGAACAGGGCCAGTCCACCCATGAGGTACAGGCATCCGGCAGGATTTCCCCCCCCCCCCAACGGGACCAGCACCCACCCTTGCCGCCACATGATCCCAGTAAGTGAGGCTTGCACAGTGGGGGGGTGGTGGTACCAGAGCCGTAGCTAGGTGATCTTGCGCCCCTGGCAGAACTGTCCAGATTGCGCCCCCAAATTAGCTCTTCTTTCCGCCTCCACTCTAACCCTCCCCCCCATTCAATTCACCCTCTGTTAAAAACCTTTTCTTATGAGGCAATAATCAATATTTTTATTTATGGACATATTTTTAAGCCAATTTTGTGTGCCCCCTTGCCTGCGCCCCTTGGGGGGGGGGGGCCCACCTCACCACCCCCTAACTACAGCCCTGGGCGGCACCTTCCTATTTTTCCTCAGGTGGCCAAACAGGCCCCTGCCATCATAAGTAAAGATCTCCCCACCTTTCTAAAGTTCTGGACACAGAGCCGTCTTTCCCATAGGGCTTAGTGGTGCATCGTGCCAGGGCCTCTCAGGGGCACCCCAGCAAGTGGGGGAGCTGTGGGGCTTTGCCGGTGGCCTCCCCTTTCCCTGCATGCCTGCCAGCTGCACCCCGCCAATCATAAGGCTGGCGGGTGTGCAGCTTCCCTCCCAAGTCTCTGCGGGGATTGTTCGCCTCCCGAGGAAGCTTGGGAGGGGCGCAACTTCACTCCCAAGCCTCTGTGGGGCTTGCTCTCCCGCAGCGGCATGGGGGAGAGTTGCACCCCCCCAATGGCTGGCAGTGCGCAGCTACGACCACCCCAACACTATCCATGGTAATTTGGGGGCGCAGGGTGGATATTTGCGCCTCAGAGCTGCATCTGCAAAAGACAGCCCTGTCCGGGCATTTACCCAGGCAGCCTTGGTTTCGTTTCGGGAGAGAGGAATCCAGGAAAACTGCAGCTGCAGCTACTCTGTGGGTGTCCCAGGTGTGGGGCAGACAGCTTTCCCAGATGAGAAACAATATCCCTGAGGTCAGGCGGAACCCCACTTCCTTGATGTATCTTGTCTAGGCTGAGTTTCAGTTTATTCGTTCTCATCCATTGTTGTGGTGATTAAATGACAGGGAGAACCATGTAGCTCCTTGGAGGAAAAACTGGAACATAAATGCAATAATTGAATAAATAAAATGAAATGAAAATTTCATGGACTAGAGTCCACTTCATCATATGCATAATTATCCTTCATTGGATCCACAATGAAGTGGATCCACATTATGCCAGAATAAAATCGGTCCAGTATATCTGAAGGAGCGTCTCCACCCCCATTGTTCTGCCCGGACACTGAGGTCCAGCACCGAGGGCCTTCTGGAGGTTCCCTCGCTGCGAGAAGCCAAGTTACAGGGAACCAGGCAGAGGGCCTTCTCGGTAGTGGCACCCACCCTGTGGAATGCCCTTCCAGCAGATGTCAAAGAGAAAAACAACTACCAGACTTTTAGAAGACATCTGAAGGCAGCCCTGTTGAGGGAAGCTTTTAATGTTTAATAGACTATTGTGTTTTAATATTCTGTTGGAAGCTGCCCAGAATGGGCGGGGTATAAATAATAAATTATTATTATTAATATTATTAAATTGCCAGCCTTTAACATTTTGCCAGCCTTTAACTTCTGTCTGCAAAATGCCTTATGAGAACTTTGCCCTGAAAGGCAAGTCAGATATATTTAAGCTAAGTTTATAAGAGGCTACACAACTGGTTTTTTTCCTGCTATGAAAATGGGCATAATATGGATGTCTTTCCCTCCTGTGGGACAAATATCAACTGGCAGGGGACACTGAGCTGGGAGAATTCATTGAATCCCCTTCCCTCCTTCTGGTGCTACTGCTCCAGGCTAACTAACCCTTATTTACAGCCTAGTGGTGTTTTACACACACACACACACACACACACACACACACACACACGGAGATCTAGTCATGGGTCTTCCTGGTTGCATATTTTGTCCTTCAGAAATGATACGGAAAGAAGCCCACGGTACACATATCTAACACCTAACCTAACTGATCTGCCGAGACAATAAATCAGATCAAGCCAGAAGGTTTTCACATTTTTATTGTAAAGCTTTGGGAGGGCTAATTACAGTGGAGTTTGTCATCTGACAGCTCAGCAAACAAACAGAATGGAAGAGAACAGAAAAGGGCTCACGAGGTGTCATGCTCACTGTTCCAAACAAAAAGGATTACAAGGGAATCAATTGTGCTCATGGCGCCTGGGGAGAACGAAGCCCCGGGCCCAAAGCCTTCCCAGTGCAAGGGGAATGCATCACATTGAGAGCAATACAACCTTAGCAAGAGAGGCAGCGCCTAAACATAGGTCACCATCTGAAAAATAGTTGGGTACTCTTTATTCTGCCGTAGGATTCCTCCTTTTAGAAAAAGCTACACCTGCATGTACATAAAACTGTACAAAAAACAAGGCATCACAAGCAAGGAACTGAAATCTCATATAAATAGAACCAACACGAAGAGCTACAAAGGGGTCACTTGGCTCCATCTTACACAGCTGGCCTGTGCCTGGCCTCCCACCTTTGGTTTTACCCCTGGCTTGTCCTAGTGCAGTGCTCAAAAGTGTCCTTCCCTCCCCCCTCGCCCTTCAATGTGCTTGTCTAGCCCAGGACCCTTGAGCTCCTCCTCCTTCCCCACCCCATCTCTGCGCACATAGGCTCTCTCCTTCTGGCTTTGACTTGTGCAAAATGAGCTTCTCCTGGTGGCACCTGGGCTCTTGGAGATCGCCTGCACCACCCTGTGGCACCTCCCTATTCCGTGGCCTTTCAGCCCAATGGCACTACCGCTGTCCCCCCAAAACATCCTCACCTCTTCTGCCGCACGCGGGAGGCAGCTATGTCTTGAACGTGGTTTTCCTCATGGTTTTCCTTCATGGGACCAGAGACCAAGCCCCCTTCTCTTTCCTCCCTCCGCCTTCTTTTATCCGATTTTCCAGGGGCAAACCAAGAGGGAAGAGGTGGAAGACTTTACACACACACACACACACACACACACACACACACACACGCGCACACACACACACCATGTCAGATACCATCAGATACACCAGTGTGGATTGATCCAGCCTGTCATTCACATTCACGTATCGGCCTTTGCCTAACTGAGAAGGGGACAAGCAACCCTAGCCTGCTTGGTACATGCTCATTTTGCTCCATGGAGCCCTGTGGCAAATGCATCCAAGGATGGGAGCAGCGTTCAGCTGAGGGCAGCCTTAAAATGCCCATTGTCAAGCGAAAGGCTTGGGCTTTTCCATTGTGTTCTTTTTGCTTTCTTTCAGCAGGCCCAACTTATGGACAGGCCTATTTGAATGTCCCATTCCATAGGCATTTTTATTATTATTATTATTAAAAATGAAATAAGGTAACCTTACCTGGGAACCACAGGTATTCTCTGGTGAGTGAGCCTGGCTCCCATCTATGCCTTCCACAGCAGGGAAGTACGAATATGGAAGAGCAAGAGGGTCCTGCCCCCTCTCCACCTTAGAGTGGCACTTTAAAGTGTCTGGAAAGGACAATGTATGGTTCAGGATGGGTGGCTGAAATCCCTTTGATCCCTGGGCAGAGCAGATATAAGCTTGTGTTTGAGTGGGTATGGAAAGAACAGCCGTTTCCAGCTCCTTTGAGGTCAAAGCTCACCACTGGCCACCCAGCCTCTTGGTACCAGAATAAATAGGTAGTGCAAGGCACCCCCTACCATCTGTGAGTTGCTTCTGGACCAGCCCTGAGTCTCAGAGAGTGTAGGCAAAAGACCAGGAAAGTCCTTTGCTCTCGTGCAGACTGCAAGTCACCAGGGATCGCAAATGGAGGACTCTAGTACTCCAGACACCTAATTCTCTGGTTGGTGGCAGCCGTTGAAGGAAGCTGCTTGTTTGCTCTGTTCTACACTTTGGTGTCACCAATGCCGATGGTCAGAAGATGATAGTTTAGCAACCTACTTGGCGGGAGCCAGATGACACAATGGGACAAGAGGGTCCTATAAAGCTTCTGGCTCTGGCCTGGCTGTTCAGTCTGAGGAACTTGGAGACTGCCCCTCCCCACCTACCTGCTTCCAGACTGTCAGCCCGGACACACACGCACACACACAACTGTACCACAAAAGCTAAGGAGAAGTATCCCTGCAGATACCACGAGGTGCTTCCCCCCCTTCTCCCCAGATCCATGCAACAGAGAAAGTTGAACAGAGACACAGCAAAGGGTGACGACCAGTCTGCCTCCTGCAGCCCAGCTAAGAAGAACACATCCATGACCCATGGCAAAATGTGGGGAGGGGGCAGGGTCTATGGGCACCAGAAGAACCAAGTCCAATGCAGGGACCAAGAGGGCTGAGCCGGGCCCAAGAAGTATCAGTGGTCAGGTGAACAGAGGTCCCACACTGGAGTTTGTACCAATGAATGTTGTGCGGGACAAACAGTTGTATCCTCCATTGCCATGCAGATTGGAGTGAAGCCCCACCGCTCACAGGGTGGACACGTTGATGGGCAGGGATGGCCACGAGCTCTTGGCTATATGGAGCCAGGTCCAATTAAGTCAGGACACCTACGAGCAACTGAAGAACCAAGTTACTTGAGCAGCCCATGGGTGGCTGGAGGTGGAAGAGTGCCCGCCGCCCAATTGGGGCTGGTCTTTTCACCCATCCAAGGGGACAACCCACTGCGGGGATCAATGCTTCCAAGGGTAGTTCCACTATTTGTTATAGGGCCCTGCTGGAACCACGATACCACCAGAGAGTTCCTATGTGGCTAAACCTGTGGCACCCAAAGAGAACATTGGAGCCCTTGAGGCTGGCTCTCTGGTCTCAAGGCAGAGGGAGGGAGGGGGGTGACTCCAGCATACAGAGGCCTCGTGGCCCCCAATGTGACCCTGAGTCAAAGCTCCATTCACAAAGGCAATGGTGGCTTACAGGCAGACTTTTCAAAGGCCGGGATCATGGCGCTGGGGCCCAGTGACCCCATGGGAGTTCCCTGCCTCGCGTGAGGCAGAAGAGATACTGGGAAGTTTGGGGGTTGGACGTCTCTTCCACCTTTCCAGCTGGCCTTAGCTCCACTGTCCAGGGGGCAGGGGCAAAGGAGGACCAGATGAAAGCCACAACCAGCAGCTCTAAGGCTCCTCCTCACATGTGACGAGAAGAGTTGCTGAAGTCTGGAAAGAGATTGGGGTTGAAAGCTCTGCAATGCCCTTCCGCCCAGTCCTGGCGACCGGCCAGAGCTCTCCCCTCACCAGCCAGTGCCCCATCCTTTTTTACACTGTGGAAGGCGAGGGTGGGCTGCTTGGAAGCACTTGCTCCCATGTGCTCTTCTGTGTGGTGAAAGATTCAAGCTGGAAATTGCTCCCTGTGGTTTTGTTTTGTTTCAAAGTCTTTTTGTTTCAAGGACAATAAAACTTCTGATCAGGCAGGACGCAAATGTCATTCCTAAGATTCATATTTACAGGAGTCTACAGTAACAAGAGAGGCAGCTTTTCCCCCTGGACCTGTGCCAGGTGCCCTTGGCCCTGTGCCCAATGGACTCCACCAAGTCTACGTGGACCTTTGGTAACTCAGCCCTTCCCCCCACCCCCAGCCCTGAAGCCATGAGGCCAAGACCTCTTCGCTACGTTCCTCTCTCCCTCTTTCCAGGCATCTAGGGACCACTCTACTGAGAGCTTGGTAATTCATGTTGACATCGGTTCTCTTGCCCTGGGAGCAATGAGTTCATAAAAAAGGGTTCCTGTGCCCAGGGCCCGGGCAAGGCATTCTCACCTGGCAGGCACAGAACCACCAATGCGAGCGATAAAGCATCACAGTTTGAAAAGTCCCTTCTTTTTATTCTTCTTTGAAATCCAGACACTGGTCTGAGGTGTTTCGCAGGCACCTTCCACGGTCCTCTTCATCTCACAGGTAGATCTCCCGCTTGGCAGTTTGGGACGATGGTGTGGTGGCTGCCTGGAAGTCCGAGGTCTGGGTCAGAGGGATTTCCTCCATGGGGGAGTCCTTGCAGGGCTCATGGCTACTGTTGGAGAAGGCACTGTACGTGGGGAGCAGGTGGAGGTTAGCCATTTTGGTGTTGCGCTCTTCTGAGAGTCTGGGGCTGCCATTCCCAACTTGTTCTTGACTCCCTCTGTCTTGATAAGGCACAAATGTGGAGAGTTTGAGGGCGTTCTTGGGCCTCCGGCTTGGAGAGGACTGACCTGGCATCCAGCAGGTGTCAGAGTGACCAAACTCTGTGCATTCCCGGGTGCAGTTCCCTGTCATGGCTACGTCAGGCAGAGGCCGGAGATCTGCACAACACAACAACAACAACAATAAAAAGGAAGGCGAGGGAAGAGGATTAAACATGCATAGAGACACAGTGCGCAGTGTGAGAAGCTGCTATGGCCAAACTTCAGGCAAATCATGCCTGGGAGTACACACCCTTAGGAGCCATCTTCCTCACCAGTCTTTTCCATTATTGCAGCGCTGCATTCCTCACAGAAGAAGTACCAGAAGTGAGGACTGGAGCAGAGGCAGAGTTAGGGGAGCACCGCTGGTTCAGACACTCTGGGCACAGAAGCTTGGGGGTGTGTGGCACCACTAGGATGCAGAATGCAAGGCGAGAGGGTGCCAAATTTTGGTGCTGCGCAGGGCACCGCTGAAAGTTGAGGACCCAAGGTCTGCAACTGACTAGAGAGTCAAGCAAAGCACTAGTCCTCATGGGTTAGGTGAGTTGTATTACTATAAAGGTAAAGGTAAAGGGACCCCTGACCATTAGGTCCAGTCGTGGCCGACTCTGGGGTTGCAGCGCTCATCTCGCTTTATTGGCCGAGGGAGCCGGCATACAGCTTCTGGGTCATGTGGCCAGCATGACTAAGCTGCTTCTGGCGAACCAGAGCAGCGCACGGAAACGCCGTTTACCTTTCCGCCGGAGTGGTACCTATTTATCTACTTGCACTTTGACGTGCTTTTGAACTGCTAGGTTGGCAGGAGCAGGGACAGAGCAATGGGAGCTCACCCGGTCGCGGGGATTCGAACCGCCGACCTTCTGATTGGCAAGTCCTAGGCTCTGTGGTTTAACCCACAGCGCCACCCGTTTCCCATTGTATTACTATATGCCAGGCAAAAAGACTGAGGCCTGGTCCAGACAACAGAATGAGGCTGGACTGATATATAACCGAGTCCAGATGGGGCAAAGTGAATGCTAACACTTCAGACTGTAGAAGAGGGATCAGATGTGTGACTACTCTTCTACATTAGGAAAATCTTTACATGCAGAAAACACAGCAAAGGAGAGAAAAGGCTAGAGAGAAAATTTCTCCCGAAAGGTTTTGTTTTTTTACCTGCAGATATATATTTTTTTAAAAAATTGGCATTCCTCCCACTTACAGTCTGAAATGGCTATACAGTCTACCTCCTCCAGGATTCTTTCATCTTATTTACCTTCATGTGCAAACCAAGCCTATAGCTTAGGCCAGTCTAAAGAACTCTGTCTTTCTGTTTACCTCTGGTTTGGTTTGGTTTTTTGCACATGTGCATATGCACAAACATACCCCCGACCCCACACCCTACAGGATCGTAGTACCAGTTTTCATTTCAGCCAGATTTCCTTTATTTGCCAGCAGAGCCCACCTCTCCTTCCCAAGGGGGCACCTGCGCACCAAAAACCAGTGGCTGCTCCCCAAGGTGGCAGCTGCTCCTCTGCCTAGGCTACAGCTGACGTGGACATAGAAAAACACACACATATACCCGCATTTTTCGCTCTATAAGATGCAGCAGACCACAAGACGCACCTAGTTTTTGGAGGAGGAAAACAAGAAAAAAATATTCCGAATCTCAGAAGCCAGAATAGCAACAGGGATCGCTGCACAGTGAAAGCAGCAATCCCTCTTGCTGTTCTGGCTTCTGGGATAGCTGTGCAGCCTGCATTTGCTCCATAAGATGAACACACATTTCCCCTTAATTTTTAGGAGGGAAAAGTGAGTCTTATAGAGCAAAAAATACGGTATATGTATGTTGTGATGAGAATATTTCCATGCACAGAACTGAACCCTAGATGCCTAAGTACTTGCAAGGCACCTCACTAGTATTATGGTGCAGAGGCTGGAGTGGAACTTCAACCAGGGAAACCTGGATTCAGCTCCCAGCTCAGCTGTGAAGGCTGCCAGGGGACTTGGACAATCATTCTGTCCCATGCTGGCCTATCTCGCAGGGATGCCTAGATGGAAAAGAAAAAGTAGCTCAGACTACTTAAATAAATTATGTTTCTGCTTTTAGGTGTTTATTGCTTCTGCCCAACTGTAGCTGTTTGGGCCAAAGGTGCATAACAGATCTCTCGCCATGCTTTTATAAAAAGAATTTTTCACTGGGGAAGGGCATTTTTAATCATGCAAAGAGGAGGGCTTAGCCTTCCATTAAAATAAAACCCACACTACGAAGCAATATTGTGATAAATGTACTTTAATTTAAATGTGATTTTTTAAAAAAATAGTATTTACATTTAAATAAAAACATCCATATTTCCAAAATAGTAACTGCACGCCCAAGTTGATATTTTCTGCATTCTGCGCCATCTGACTTTCCAGCCATGGATGCTTCTCCCTCCCTCCCTCCCGCTGCCCCCCTCAGAAACCTCACTGCTTTGTGAAGCTTCAGTGGAGGGGGATTTGCTGTGTTTGGTTTTTTCAAATGATTCCATCACCTGCAATTGCTTGCCTTTACTAAGAAGGGGCACAGAATGGGTGAGGTGGGCCAAGGGAAGTAGGCTGGACAAACAGAAAAGTGGCAACACTTTGAGCTCACTAGAAGGCAATTCACAAGGGCTGGAGGAGGAGAATTCCCCACTACTATACATGCTTAAAAATACCCTGCAATATCTCTATTTATGGGCCCATTCCTGCAAGCTCAGACACCAATTATCCACGCTAATTATTGTCACTACCAATTAAGGAAGGACAAGTCAGTCTACGATATTGTGTGTGTGTATGTGTGTATGTAATATCTTATGGAAATTTGCCCTGTCCCACTTTAAAGTTGCCCTAACAACTTGTAAAAGGCTATAAAATACTGGTGTGCTGCAGACTGCAGGCAGATACACTATCAATAATAAAATAAAATAAAATAAAATAAAATAAAATATAAAAATAAAATAAAATAAAATAAAATATAAAAAATAAAATAAAATAAAATAAAATATCCCCTTCTGCCACCCATCCTGAGCACTCCAATGCTAGCTCTGCTAATGTCCCCTAAGGCTTATGCTTATGCTTACCAGGAAATCGTGTTACATCTATACTTCTGAATGCTCCACTGGTTCACTGCTTTGTCTGAAGGGATCACGTGGATCACCTTTCCTGCCCTCCCACATAACCACGCCCAAAATGCCAAGACTGATTCCTCTTGCCCATTGGCATTTGTGATATATACTATAATCACTGCATAGGATTCACGCAGATGGGAAAGCAGACTAAAACACTTTAATGAATAAGCAAATCAATGAAGAACAATAAAGATGGAAATCATGAGCTCAGCCACCTCCCTTTCCCTTTGCTTTCCGTCACCCAGAGATTCCAGCAACAACAGAGGGAAGAAAAAGCAAAGGGACTGGATAATATATCTGCAGGGAGACTCAGAACATGCCAGTATCCTCTTTTCCTTAGCTTTTGAAATTGCATCGGCTGTCGCCTGTTGCACTCTTTGCCCCCAAGAGCATGCGTTTCCCCAAGTCGTGCAGCACTGAACGTTTCTGTTTGGTTTTGCCCCATTTTTGGTAGCAGCAAAGCGGAAGCACCTCTCTCTCTCTCTCTCTCTCTCTCTCTCTCTCTCCTCGCACTTCCACCCACGCCAGTTTGCCAGCAGTGCCCTTGTTCCATCTCCCAATGCTGCCTCCCAAAACATCTCCATGCTGCTCCAAGCGGGGCTGGGCTTCCTAGAGCCCCACGTCCATTGCCTCCCCGCAACCCTCTCAAGGCGTGTGTGGGATTCGTAGGTCCCTGCGCCCACGCTCTCCCTGGAAAGCCATGCACACCTACCTGGGCGCAGAGCCCCCTTCACAGTCTGCTCCATTCAGGGGACACTAATGAGGAGCAGAAAAAGGAGGAGAGGGTCACTCAGGATGAGGGCCGGATTTAGGTTGGATGAGGCCCTAAGCTAATGAAGGTCACGGGGCCCTTTCTATGTCCAGCTGTCCTTTGTCAACAACAAATTGTCGCTGCTTTTTGTGTTGAATATATGATATATGGTCATTTGTGGACCTAATGGGTATCAAATGCCACTTGCCCCTGTTGCTGTATGTAGGTTTTATTTTCTTTGCTTTTTATCTTATATTTTGGAAATGTACATCCAGTTTTTTCTTTCCTTTAATTTTTTGGGGGGGGTCCCAAGAGAGTGGGGCCCTAAGCTATAGCTTGTTTAGCTCATACGTAAATCCGGAACTGCTCAGGATACAGCCCCACTCTCAACTCCCTAAGCGTTCACTGTCCTACCTATCCATCCAGCCATCCCATGGGGCTTTCACCACCAAAGAAGGGCAATGCTCTCTCCAAGACCTGATCCTGGCCTCCCCCAGAAACAGCCAGTTCTGGAACCCATGAGTTATTCTGATTCATATCAACACCTTTTACAGTCTTCTCCCCCCCCCTTCCAAATTGACAAAGTTTGTGCTCCTAACCTGCATTTTCACACATCGAATCCCAAACTGTGGGCCAGGCACATTTGTGTAAAGATTAGAGGGATGGACTGGGCCTGGGGAGACCCAAACTAACAGGCAAATTAAGCAGCTGAACAGATTGAGCAGCAGGGAAAGCAGACAGCACAGACCACTCTGCCCTTTGAGCTAACAGATTCAAAGGTCCCAAGGAAACTACTGTATTTTTTGCTCTATAAGACTCACTTTTTTCCTCCTAAAAAGTAAGGGGAAATGTGTGTGCGTCTTATGGAGCGAATGCAGGCTGCGCAGCTATCCCAGAAGCCAGAACAGCAAGATGGATTGCTGCTTTCACTGCGCAGTGATCCCTCTTGCTGTTCTGGCTTCTGAGATTCAGAATATTTTTTTTCTTGTTTCCCCCCTCCAAAAACTAGGTGCGTCTTGTGGTCTGGTGTGTCTTATAGAGCGAAAAATGCGGTAATTCAATAAAAACAGGCATGCAGGTGGAAAGGCACCTGGGGCGTGAGCCTAAGAACCAGGGCCAAGGCTTGTGAATCCAGGATCAGCAAGAAGGAGTCCCGGACTTCGTGGGAGCTGAGAAGTTGTTCCAACAAGTATTCACACCCACCAGCCAAGCTTTAAAGCTGAGGTGGGGTGCAGTCCTTACTCATGAGAATCTCTCCTTGCAGGTCTTGCCTCCAAGCAGGTGCTACATCTAGATGGTTGGGTCTCCTGCCTCCCCATAGGTGCTGCCTTCCCCTGGGAGAGAGCGCTGGACCGGCCTCCACCTCTCCCTCCTGCTCAGTCACCCCAGGCTGTGGCTCAGAGCCCTCCCCAGACTCCGACAGCACTCTTTCCCCCACACGAAGCGGGGAAGAGGGTGGAACTCCTGTCTCAACTTTGGGGCCGTACGTGTTTGGAGAGAGGGAAAGGCTTCCATCCAGGGGCATACGAAGTGGGAGGCGGGCTGCCCCAGGTGCCATTCTGGGGGTGTGTGTGACAAGATGGCTCCTGCCCTCCCCCCGATGTAGAACGGCCAAGGGCGCATGGCGTCCGTACGGGCTGACCTTCTCTCGCACCATCCGTATGGGCTACCTCTTGCACGATGACTGCAAAGGCTGCCGCGTGTGCGCACTCCATACAGGATGCGACACATGCACAGTCCGTACAGGCTGCCACTTGCACGATGACTGTACAGGCTGTTGCATGAGCAGCATCCCATACGGACTGTGCATGTGCTGCATCCTGTATGGAGTGCGCATGTCTGGCATCCTGAATGGAGTGCGCATGTGCAGCAGCCCGTGTGGTCGTCGTGCAAGAGGCAGCCCGTACGGATGCCCGTATGAGATGGTGCAAGAGAGCCGCACATGCGCAATACGTACGGGCTACCCTGCCCCGGGTGCCAGAGAGGGTTCCTCCGCCACTGCTTCCATCTCCTCCAACCTCTGACTCAGCTCCCTCCTGAGTCTGCCATCCGGGTCTGAGCTCGTCGGTACTAAGATTGTAATGACATGGTTGGGTCTTGCAAAGTACCCTCAGATTTCCATAGGGACCTTAGAAGTTTCTATTGGGGAAGAGCAGCTAGTGATTGTTTATTTGAGGCCCCCTTATGAGACATTCTGCTACTGTTCTTTAATTATTAAAGATTTTCTTGATTAACAAAAGTGTTTGCAATGTCTCTCTCTTGCCCCCCCCTCCCCATGTAACATTTTTACAAATCAGTTTCATTTGTTGAGACATTAGGAAGAAAAGGGGGAAAGAGGTGGAGGGGGGAAAGATAGGTGGGGGTGAGGTCAGGTGGCAATGTTTCTACTTTACTACTATATGTAGGGTTTGGTGTCAGCATTGCTTGTGCAGGTTCTTTGCTGTTCGCTTGTGTTCCTTTGGTGGTGAGAGAGGTTGGGATTGGCTGAGGGTGTGGTTATTCATTTGTGGTTGGCTGTGGTGATCTTTGTTTTCGTGTGTGAGTGGGGTGGGTGGGTGTTTTGGATCAGGTTAGCCATATTGATTTGTATGCTGTTGGTGGGTTTTTGTCGTTGTCTTGTTGGGCTGTGTATGTGATAAAGGGGAGCCATACCAGGGTGAAGGTGTCATCTTCTATTTGTCCCCGTGTCGGTTTCAGTTTATTGGTTAATTTTTCAAGTAGGGCTGTTTCCCATACTATTTGGTACCATTGGTCCATGCTTACTTCTGACAGGTCCCTCCAGTGTCTGGCTATGATGCTTACATTCTGCTACTGTTGACATCTATTACTGCCCGCACCGGTGCAGAACATTTGGTGATGCCTTTCCTGAAAGCACCTTTCCCCCAGTGTTTGTTTCAAAGCATTTACTGCTAATGAGCTTTTCCTTTAATGTGCAGTGTGCAATTACATTTTTTTGCATTTATTCCCTGACAGAATAAGCATCTATTGATGCTGCTAATGTTTGTTTTGCATTTGCAGCAGGAGGGACCCATAAACGGAAAACGCCGCAGCTGGAAACAATATATTCCCTAAGCCCAGAGCTAGGAATAATAGCTAGCTAGTAGAGTTGGAAGGGGTCCTGAGGGTCATCTAGTCCAACCCCCTGCAATGCAATAATCTCAACTAAAGCATCGTTGACAGATGGCCATCCCATCTCTGCTTAAAAGCCACCAAGGAAGGTGAGTGCACCACCTTCTGAGTCCATTCAACACCTCTTACTGTCAGAAAGTTCCTCCTGATGTTTAGCTGGAATCTCTTTTCTTGTAACTTAAAGCCACTGGTTGGAGTCCTCCCCTCCAGAGCAGGAGTGCTCCATCTTCCATGTGACAACTCTTAATATATTTAGTGATGGCTATCCTATCTCCTCTCAGTCCCCTCTTCTCCAGGCGAAACATACCCAGATCCCTCAACCGTTCCTCATAAGGCTTGGTTTCCAGACCTTTGATCATTTTGGTTGCCCTCCCTGCCTCAGATTCAGAAGCATTCCAGGGAAAAGATTTGGAGGTAAACGCAGCAGGCAACAGGCCTGCAAACAGATCCCCAGTGAAGGAATTGGAAGAGGCCTGTAAGGCATTGGAATTAATGGGGCTAAGCTAGTCATGTCGATTCATTTCAGTGGGTTTACTCTGAGTAGAAATAACATTGGCTACAACCCAAAGGTTTCAGGCATTGGATAATCAGTGGTTAAGATAGAAGGAGAGAGCATGCAGGTGGTGCAAAACAAAGACAGATTGTTTCAATTGTTTCTACTGCCTTGACGCCAACCCATTAAGGGACAATACCCAAGGACAGGTATTAAATCTCCCTTCTCTCTTGGCAAGCAAGCCTAGCAAAACCCTCAGGGTCTCCCTGCTTCTCCACCTTCTGTTTCCAGCCTAATCATGTCTCTCTTTCTTCCCCTTGCTATTGTGAGTTCTTCCCTCCTTAGATGGCATCACCTCCAAATCTCAGATCCATCTTTCCTCACGGTCTATAGCCACCCACTGGAATTTCAGGCTGGCAGGCAAAGAGTGCACTTTGCAGCAGATCTGTGCCACAGAATGCTTTGTATGTCTGCTCAGGATTAAGTCCCACTATGTTCAGTGTGGGGGCTTCTTCCTTGGTAAGTGTATTTGGAATATTCAGTAATGGGATTTGTATAGTTTGAAGGATATAAACACTATTGACACAAAGAGAGCATAATTAATGGAGCAGTCCAATAGAGAAGTCTATGCTTTTGGTTCAGGATCCAAATCAACAAGAAGCAAGGGGTGGTACCAAAGGGGGTCTACTAATGTTTGGTTGCCCAAAGAACTGCAACAACCTGGAGCCAACCCTTCCATTCATCTTAGAAGCTAGGCTACATGTTTACTATGATGGTTCACCTGAGAACAGGGACTCCTCCGAAGTTATTTTCTGCAAATACTACAGCACAGTAAGTGGAAATGCAAAATGTGAAAACTTTGCAAAGAGGATGCTTCTGTGCAGGAGCTGAAGTCCAGCCACTCATTAAGAATTCACTATATAGCTGACAAAGGTCCGTATAGTTAAAGCTATGGTTATCCCAGTAGTGATGTATGAAAGTGAGAGTTGGACCATAAAGAAGGCTGATCGCCGAAGAATTGGTGCTTTTGAATTATGGTGCTGGAGGAGACTCTTGAGAGTTCCATGAACTGTAAGAAGTTCAAATCTATCCATTCTTAAGGAAATCAGCCCTGAGTGCTCACTGGAAGGACAGATCCTGAAGGTGAGGCTCCAATACTTTGGCCACCTCATGAGAAAAGAAGACTCCCTGGAAAAGACCCTGATGTTGGGAAAGACGGAGGGCACAAGGAGAAGGAGACAACACAGGACGAGATGGTTGGACAGTGTTCTCGAAGCTACCAGCATGAGTTTGACCAAACTGCGGGAGGCAGTGGAAGGCAGGAGTGCCTGGCGTGCTCTGGTCTATGGGGTCACGAAGAGTCGGACACGACTAAACGACTAAACAACAGCAACTTATAGTTCTTATAGTGCAATGGTATACAGATGCATGCGTACATTACTGTACTATGGTGTGTGGATAAAAAGAGTAAACAATATTATTATTGTGATTTTGTTGATGTATCTTTATGTTACTTCAAAGCTACATTGGGAGGATTTGTATCCTGATATAAATAAATGTAATGAATAATAAATGGACAGGGTATATTGAATTTCGACAGGTATTTTGTCCAATTTCATTCCCCTCCCCAGAGCTTACATGTAGGGAATTTTTACGTGAGGAAGTATCCAAAAATATGATCCTTTCCACCCCCCATCTGCAATCTGATGTTTGACTGAGAGTAAACCCATTGAAATTAATGAACATGGCTTAACTTAGGCCCATGAACTTCAACAAGTGAGTCTACTTTAAGTAAAACTTAGTTGAATATCACCCGGTGTCTAGAATTCTACCACCCAATTCTATCAAAATGGTTTGCGAAACTTGCAGAATGGCTCAAAAATGTTGTTCTTCAAGATATTCTGAAGGTCTGAGGGAAACCAGTTGGAGCTGTCAGCTATGGATTTTTGGTGGACATAAAATACCTGGACTTGCTTAGTGAATAAAATCATCAAATGAGGGACTTATCCTTTTTCCTTATGTTACATTATGTTAGGTACATTTAAGGCAGCACCTTAAATCCAGCACCTAGCCTGGATTGAGGTACTATTGCAGAGCAAGGTGGAGGGATCCTCAATGCTTGGAATGAACTCCTTTAGTTGAACCAAGTTCACTGAACTAGCTTAAAAAAAATAAAATCTGAACTACACACAAAAGTAGTTTCCCAAAGTTGCCAGGTAAACTAAAGGTGAATTAAGTTCATTTTGGAGTGGAACTTTGAATAATTTCTAGTTCATCTTCAAGTTCATTCTCTCCCTGCCTCCATTGGGCTCCTAGCTTACATTTTTAAAAAGGAGTCAGTTCGACATCTTTAAAGAAAGCAGAACATGGAGGCAACATTCTAAGGTTTATTAGGCAGATATGGAGGCACCGCTGTTGCTAAGGATGCTTCGTCACTTAATCACTGTTGCTAAGCAACCAGAAGGAAGGAATGTGAGGGATTTTCTGTATCTTCCCTGATTAAGAGATTTGTTCTCTTCCAACAGGAGCAGCTGGCAGTGAGACGTACAGGAACAGGAACAAAGTGAATGATTTCTTGTGCTTTTAACAACTGTGTGGCTGGCACAAATTAAACAGGGCAAGCCTTTTCTAGCATGGAAATACAATTGTGAGGCAAGCCTTACCTGTTCATATACTTGTCTTTCAGACATCTTTTTACTTGTTTCTGGCACTGGATTTACTTGTGGATACTATATTTTAGCACAGCATCCATCATGTAACACCTGAATGCAGGTATATTATATATATTCCCCCCCCCCCCAGTTCCTTGCAGGAGGAAGGGCAGGCTATAAATTTAATAAACAAACGAACAATCTCTCTGCAAGACCATGAAACGTATGTGTCCCCAAACCTGAGTGCAAGGCAGGGGAAAGGATCTGATACCCAATGCACAAAATCACCTCTTTTAAGCCAGTTTTATGCTCCAACAGGAACCCATTTCACAGAAGGAAAAGTGGTGATACTAGCTAAGGAGACAGTTAACTTGCCCCAGAACCCAAGGACAAAGGCAGAGGTGGGGGCTGATGCCAAATGCACAAAACCATTCCTTAAGCCACAGTTCTCTCTTTCAGGATCACCCACAACTCTCTTTTACACACATTCCCTCAAAGCACACTCACACTCAAAACTTTTCACACACACACACACAAACATCTCATCTCCCTGTTACTTAACCTCCTGTTGCCCCTCGCCCCGCCATTAAAATTCAGTGGGGTGCATTATTTCATTCAAGTGGTGCTGGAAATCTTAATAATAAATTGAGGTGGGTTATTTTTGGCCTCCTCTTTTTCTTCCCTCCTACTTCCTTAATCCTTAGCAGCCAAAGGCAAGCATGTACCTGAGCTGCTGCTCAACATGAAAATTTCTGTCTGTGTTTTGGGGTTGCAAATTACCTGATCTCATTTCTACATAAGTGTTGATACATTAAAGGTAAAGGGACCCCTGACCATTAGGTCCAGTCGTGGCCGACTCTGGGCTTGCGGCGCTCATCTCGCTTTATTGGCCAAAGGAGCCAGCATACAGCTTCCGGGTCATGTGGCCAGCAGACTAAGCTGCTTCTGGCGAACCAGAGCAGCACACAGAAACGCCGTTTACCTTCCCGCTGGAGTGGTACCTATTTATCTACTTGCACTTTGACGTGCTTTCGAACTGCTAGGTTGGCAGCAGCTGGGACTGAGCAACGGGAGCTCACCCCATCGCGGGGATTCGAACTGCCAACCTTCTGATTGGCAAGTCCTAGGCTCTGTGGTTTAACCCACAGCGCCACCCGTGTCCCATGTTGATGCATTAGGGATATGCTATTCTTCCACTTTGTTTTCTGGACTTTGCAGTTTTCTGAGGTCCACAGGCTGCATCTTCTTTTCTTACTGTTTACAGATGTGCACCAGTACATCTGGGGACTGACTAATTTACAACACGGAAAGGAATGCGAATCCTATTGTGTCATCACACCAAGGTCCCTTTTTGCCCTGTGCATATGTTCTGGTGTGCATCAGTAACCACCAGCAGCAAGAACACAGATGCAAACTGAAAACGGTGCACAAAAAAAAGGCATGCACCAAATCAGAAATTATGTTGAGAATTACACCAAGCTAGGTGGGAAGGTAGACTGAACAGAATGCAGATCATAGCAAACTCATGGAATGGTATGGAGTAAATCCATCCATACGCTGAATAGTCTGCTACAAACTCATGTCCTGAAACCCTCTCTCTGTGTCTTCTGCTCCTTTCATTCCTCCCCCTATCTACTCTTTGGATATTGATCTGTCCCAAATTTTTACAGCAAATTTACTATTAAAGTATTTCCCCGCCACTGTTCATGTCCGATGCACAATCCTGTTCTGTTCCTTGCTTTGGTAGCAGCAGTGAACGCTCTTTGGCAAGTGGGACCCAGATCTACTCATACTGGTGGGTTTCCTAAAGAGCCTTAGCCATTTTGAGCAGGGTCCTTACCATTCTCAGGGTGCTCAATTTCCCCAATGCTGCCGTCTGGCGTGGTGCGCTCATAGTGATCCTCCGGCAAAGCCAGTGGTCCAATGCGGGGCCCCGATGACGACTTGCTGCTTGGTGTTTCTGACTCCTCAAGGCCACTGTCATAGTAACTGTGTTGGGAGGGGTCCTGCAGATCTTGCGCCTGATTGGCTGCAGAGAATGTCACTCGGCGATGAGGTAACTGCGCAAAAACAAAAACAAAACAAAATAAATCACAAAAACATATTCCATAGGTGAACTGCAAAATGTTGCCACTATAATCAGGGGCGAACGAAGGCGTCGTGACACCCAGGGCAGCAAACTGCTATGTACGGCGCATGTGCGGCGTCGCTACACATCCTCCACATGTGGCTGTGGCGGCGCAATGGCTGCTCGCACCGTCACGAGCCCCCGCGAGGTGCCTTCTTGTCACCCCCCCCGACATGGCACCCAGGGCACACCGCCCACACCGCCCCTGTTGCGACGCCACTGACTACAGTGAATAATAATAATAATAATATTTTTTTTTATTTATATCCCGCCCTCCCCAGCCGAAGCCGGGCTCAGGGCGGCTAACAACACTAAAATAGTGCAACATTATAAAAACATTATAAAAATTAATTAAAATCAAAATTGATGGCAACCATAAACTAAAGTTTTGTAAAGATTGCCAAAGGAGGGAGTCAGGCTGCGCCTGACCAAAGGCCTGGTGGAACAGCTCTGTCTTGCAGGCCCTGCGGAAAGATGTCAAGTCCTGCAGGGCCCTTGTCTCTTGTGACACAGCGTTCCACCAGGTTGGAGCCGCAGCTGAAAAAGCCCTGGCTCTAGTCGAGGCCAGCCTAACCTCTCTGTGGCCTGGGACCTTCAAGATGTTTTTATTTGAAGACCGTAAGTTCCTCTGTGGGGCATACCAGGAGAGGCGGTCCCGTAGGTACGAGGGTCCTAGGCCGTATAGGGCTTTGAAGGTTAAAACCAGCACCTTAAACCTGATCCTGTACTCCACCGGGAGCCAGTGCAGCTGGTATAGCACCGGATGAATGTGATCTCGCAGCGAAGACCCCGTAAGGAGTCTCGCTGCGGCATTCTGCACCTGCTGGAGCATGGAAGCTCAACTTATCAATGCAACCTGAGAAACACTTCTCCATTAAGAGAGCCCACCTAGATCATGAGATGAGCTAGACCGTACCCAGTACATGCAACAGTAATAAATACTAAGAGCTGTTAGCAACCTGAAGATAGTCAAGGCCAACGATCTTTGTACTAAACATAAGGCATATTCAAGATGACTTCTCACACTTTGTGATGCTGCCTCCTCAAAAGTAGAAATCACATAAAAGGTACATCTAAACCTCCAAGATTCCCTGTTTTGTGTGTGTGTGTGTGTGTGTGTGTGTGTGTGTGTATCTATAGATCTATATCTATATAATAAATCACTGTTTTACATATTTTTACCCTTGTCTTCAAGTTATGTACCTTTCAAAGTGGTTTTTTTGCTCATAAGTGCCATAGTCACAGAGGCATCTGATGAAGTGGACGCCAGTCCCCCAAAATGTATGTCGTGGGGGTGGCGGCTTGCCAGCGTGCAAGATGGCTGCATAATTTAATCTCTCCCATACCCACCAAGGTCCTTTTTGCTCTATACCAACATAACTTAGATGCGCTAAGTTGTTGAGACGGACAATCTAACAGGGGAATGCAACTGGCATCTGGTAGGAGACATACAAAGCCCCTGAATTAGATCTGCCTGAAAGAGAACATTCTTAGTTGGGGCTGTCAAGCGCCAATGAAACTGATACCGTGCAGGATGGGCTCCGACCAGGGAAAGGCGTGAAACTAACAACCTGTCAAATGGTGGAGACATTGCTCATTACTTTAAATCACTCCACAATGACTTAGCAGTGGACTGGCAAGCAGCGATTGCACGGCTTGGTCTGAACCGTTCCAATTTGCAGGGATGGTGGATACGGCAAGCAAGGTGTTTGAACTGCCTCTGCCCCCTATCTCAGAATCCCTTTCTCCCTCTGGCAGATCTCACCCATCCCACACAGGGCTCATGGCAACCCTCTTGATTAACCAGGTCTGAAGCTCCTTTTTGCTGTCCTTACTTCAAGGTTGAACATGGTGGTGTGGTGATACCTCAGTACAGTTTGAGCATATTGCACCGATCCTGACTAGACTGCACTGGCTGCCAATTAGCTTCCGGGCCCAATTCATAGTGCTGGTTTTGACCTATAAAGCCTTAAATGGCTCAGGACCGCAATCATATGTCCAGCTGTCCTTTGTCAACAACAAATTGTTGCTGGTTTTTTTGTGTTGAATATATGCCACATGGCAATTTATGGACCTAATAGGTATCTAAAGCCATTTGCACATAACAAAAAATGTATTTTATCAAAGTAATTGTTGATCTGTACTGTATATAGAAATGAGCAAACCAGTGATATTTTAGAGAGCAGGCTAGCAGGTGGGGCCCATTATTTACATCATAGGAGCCTACACAATACAAAACACTGTAGCTGTACAGTGGTACCTCTGGTTATGCACTTAATTCGTTCCGGAGGTCCATTCTTAACCTGAAACTGTTCTTAACCTGAGGTACCACTTTGGCTAATGGGGCCTCCTGCTGCCGCCACGCCGCCAGATTTCTGTTCTCATCCTGAAGCAAAGTTATTAACCCGAGGTACTATTTCTGGGTTAGCGGAGACTGTAACCTGAAGCGTATGTAACCCAAGGTACCACTGTATGTAGGTTTTATTTTATTTGTTTTTTATCTTATATTTTGGAAATGTACATCCAGTTTTTTCCTCCTTTAAATTTCTTGGGGCTCCCAAGAGAGTGGGGCCCTAAGATATAGCTTGTTTAGCTTATACATAAATCCGGCACTGACCGCAATACCTCAAGGACCACCTCTCCCCATATGAACCAGCCTGGACCCTGTGATCATCCTTTGAAACCCTTCTTCATGGGCCTCCCTCACAAGAGGTCTGGTGGGTGGTAACATGAAAATGGGCCTTTTCTGTGGTGGCTCCCCATTTGGGAAACCCTTTTCCCAGGGAGGTTGACCTGAGGCCTTCCTTACAAATCTTTAAGTACCAGGCAAAAACATTCCTCTTCTCCCAGGCTTTTGGCTAATTAAACCATCTATGGCCTTTTAAACTCAGGTGGTGGGGGTTACTGTTTTGTTTGTTGCTATGGTATATGTTTTTGTGATTTTATATTTTAAACTGCCAGGTGATCCTTGGATGAATGGCAGTACAGAAATTTAATTAATAAATCCATCCATCCATCCATCCATCCATCCATCTATCCATCCATCCGGGTTTCATTCTGACTAGGCAGACTGCAGATTCTATGCATAGAGGTTTTAAGGTGGTGGCCCATAGCAACTCTCAAAAGGTCTCAACATCCCTGAGTATTCTTGATATTTTTAAAGTATTCAACTAAATCGCAAAATTAATAAAAGCAATAGACACATTAAGCATCAAGGCATGTTTCTTTTTTGGAAGACAAACAAAAGGAAAAATAAAATGGAACAAAGAGAATTAAAAACAAGTAATTATAGTGGGTGTTGTTTGTTAAAAAACAGAATGTGCTTAGAATAAAAAAAGAAACAAATAAATAAATAAATCACATAAATAAAAGCCGTACAACTGAACTAAGGCAGGGGTAAAATGGAATGACCCTATACTGACCCCTCCTAAAAGTTTGCAAAATAACAACCAAACTTACACAATCTGGAAAAAATGAAAAACAGCAGAATGAAGTCAAATTGATTGAAGTATTGATTTTCAGTTGTTTGCTAGGAAACAGAAAGCAACTGGGAAGAATGCCAACAGTCCACTCCTCTTCCAAGCCCCCTGCTTTCTCAGGCAGAACTCGCAGAACAGCATCAAGGAAACAAATGCTTTTTATTTACTTCAACATTCCTCCTCCAAATCATTGTAATATGTATGCCTTGGAAGACTATTTTGTTCTCATGAAAACCTAGACCTGACCACCAAAAAAAGCCCAACTCTCCACCCTCTTCCCACTTGAGCTCAGGGTGTTTTTTGTTTAATTGCAATAGTTGCTTTATATTAAATAGGAAAATGTCATGGTTTGGGGGGAGGGGGTGGCTAAGTCCACAGATCAACATCAGACTTTAGAGGGTCCCTGGTGCAATGTGAGATGCCTTATTACTGGTACAGTCCAACACAAACATGTGAAAACCTCACCCAAATTCACTTCATAATTTGGGCTGCATATCCCTAATACAATCACATGTAGATTCATTCCTAAACAGTCTGTCCTCAGGGTCAGAAATTAGGCAGGTGTGTCAAAGTTTTCATAGAATCGTATCATTCATAGCATTCTGGAGTCAGATGAGATCTTGGAAGTACTCTGGTCAGTGCAGAACAGCCACTTTTACTCTAACCAAAACACAAACTAGAATGTAGGAACAAGAGAGTCAAACAATAAAAGAAATCTGGCAACGGAGGAGCAGGAAGTAGGTTTCTTACTCACATATATCATACAGAATCAAACCAGAATTCAACTGCTATATAGTAAAACCTCAAAGCTGGAAGCTGTACAGTGGTACCTCAGGTTACATACGCTTCAGGTTACATAAGCTACAGGTTACAGACTCCGCTATCCCAGAAATAGTGCTTCAGGTTAAGAACTTTGCTTCAGGATGAGAACAGAAATCGTGCTCCGGCGGCGCGGCGGCAGCAGGAGGCCCCATTAGCTAAAGTGGTGCTTCAGGTTAAGAACACTTTCAGGTTAAGAACAGACCTCCGGAACGAATTAAGTATTTAACCTGAGGTACTACTGTATTTTAATTTAGATAGTAAAGGTAAAGGAACCCCTGACCGTTAAGTCCAGTCGTGGATGACTCTGGGGTTGCGGCGCTCATCTCGCTTTCAGGCCGAGGGAGCCGACGTTTGTCTGCAGAGAGTTTTCCGGGACATGTGGCCAGCATGACTAAGCCGCTTCTGGTGAACCAGAGCAGCGCGCAGAAACGCCGTTTACCTTGCCGCCGGAGCAGTACCTATTGATCTACTTGCACTTCATGCTTTCGAACTGCTAGGTTGGCAGGAGCAGGGACCGAGCAACGGGAACTCAGCCCGTCGCGGGGATTTGAACCGTAGACCTTCTAATCGGCAAGCCCTAGGCTTAGTGGTTTAGACCACATCTTCAAATATCTAAAAGGCATGGAAGATGCAGCAAGCTTGTTGTCTCCTGTTATGGAGGGCAGGACCCGAACCAATGGTTTCAAGTTGCAAGAAAGGAGATTCCGACTAAACATCAGGAAGAACTTTCTGACAGTAAGAGCTGTTTGACAGTGGAACAGTCTCCCTTGGGAGGTTGTGGACTCTCCTTCCTTGGAGGTTTTTAAGCAGAGGTTGAGTGGCCATCTGTCATGGATGTTTTAGCTGAGATTCCTGCATTGCAGGGGTCTGGACTGGTTGGCCCTTGGGGTCCCTTCCAACTGTGCAATTCTATGATTCTAGCCTCTTTAGTGTTTCCAGTAGTTTCCTCCCTCCCTTAATCTTGTCAAACACTAAACTTTTTTCATAGATTGCTTTCTTCCTGTGATCTGAGGCAGCCACCTCAGGTGGAGAAGTGAGAATAAACAGTTGTGGCTTCTGGTGAGATCTCATGGGGTTCTTGTGATAGCTAACCAGAAGCTGCTGTAGTCACTTCTTCTGCACTGAGGGAGAACTCTGCCTGACCCTGCTGCCATGACTGCTCAAAAAGCAAGGGGAAGCAGCATCTTCCAGGTTTCTGTGAGATCTTGCAGGCCTCTTGTGAGATCTCACTGGAACCTGGAAGCTGCACAACCCTGCTAAGTGAGGTTTCAGCAGGAGGGCTCCTTCCCATTTCAGCTCAGGTGGTGAAATGGGATGGACTGTCCCTGGGCCTACCACCTGCTCACTTGACCCTTGCCTTTTAGGACTGGGTGTCTAGGCTTCTGAGGTAGCTTAATACCTCCCTGAGGGAAGGGTTTGTTCCTATCTGCTTCAAGGAGGTGCTGATAAGACTACTTATGGACCCCTTGGTCTCAAATTTTCCTCTTGAGGGCAAGGTGCTGGATGAGTGGTTACCTCTTAATTCCAGACAGTCTTGGGTGATGGTGATTATTTGGATCCATTCCAGTCTGGTTGCAGGCCTGGTTACGGGACAAAAGTAGCTTTCACTGGTGAATGGATGGGTTATGTGCTACCATATTAGTTCTGGACCTCTCATAGCAGCTTTCAATACCACCTACCATGGTATCCTTCTAGGTCACCTGTTGGGGTTGGGCTAAAGGGGGCGCCATCTTACAGTAGTTCTGGTCCTTCCTGGATGGCTGTACTTAATAGGGTGGTGCCAGGGTTTACAGAGTTCCATGGGAGTCTATATGATTTTCAGCCAATGAGGAAAGCCATCTAGAAGTTTGCAGTGTTGTTAGTACATTGGTGACACACAACTCTACCTCTCTTTGTCATCCTCTGATCCAAGGTGTTGTTGAAGTTCTGAACTGATGGCTGGAGACAGTTCTGGGGTGGATGAGGGTGAATAACCTGAGTTTAAATCTGAGCAAGATTGTGAGATCCCCAGATCTAGAAGAAAGTTTACAACTGGTTCTGGGTGCAATAGTATCCCCCTTGAAAGACCAAACACACCGCTTGGAACTCACTCAAAGACTAAATCCATATAAAAAGATCCCTGTTCAATCCTTTTTGTATGGTTTAATTAATGTGCATAATCACACTGAAAACTGCAGCAAATTGCACATGACAGCAAGCTTGAGGAAAAGGGATTGCAAATGCATCGCTGCCACTCCTCAAATAAGAAATTTCAGAACTCTGAACTTAAGAAAGAAAACCAGATTGTTGCCCTCCTATCTGTTTGCTCCATTTAATTCAATGGGATTTTCTTCTGAGTATACATGCATCCCACAATATTTGTTGCAGCTTACTTTGTTTAATTAATAATAATAATAATAATAATAATTCATTAGGAGTTCTAGAAAGTATGGAATTTAAAACAACACATTGGAGTGTGTCTCTTCCAAAACGATGACCTTAAAGAACTGCAGTCTCAGAAAGATTCCAGATTGCCAACAGCAGGGTGGTTCCTTTCCTCTTAATATATCGAGGGCTGAGGGCAGTCCATTTCTGTTGCTTGAAAAGGAGCCTGTTCCAACCAGCTGATATTCTGATGCAGAGGTGGGCTGGCAGAAAACTCTTCCTGGCCAGCACATTTCACGCTCTTTTGATTACTGTTCAGCGTGATATGGAACATCTTGGGGAACAAATCCCTCTTTAATGAGGCATTTGGTTTCCTGCAACACATTGCAAATTTGGTGTGAACAACACCCACACTTCTTGGTAGCCTGGAAACAGAGGAGGCTGCCTTATATCAAGTCAGACCAGTGGTCCCTCTAACTCACTATTGCTGCTAGTAACTGGCAGTGCTTTTCCAGGGTTTCAAACTAGAGTCTGTCCTTGCCTTACCTAGAGATGCCAGCGACTGAAGCTGGGACCTCTGCCTGCCCTACCCCTGAGTCACAGTGCTTCTAAGACAGCAGGTGAACACACTTATTATCATTCAGTAATGTCACTACCACTTGGTTTCCTGACCAGCAACACCTGAGCCAGCTCTGGATCTTCCTTGGGAAGAGTTGCTTGGGCTCTTATCACTTCCACTGCCTGCTGCAGTTCGCAGCGTACCTTCGTTGCTCTGTGTTCTGGTTCCGATTACTGAGTTTGTTTCCTTCTCAGCTGCAGCCACAGGGACACCTGCTGGTAGATGCTACTCAAGACTTACTCACTTTTATGTGGCTATCCATCTCATCATTTTGTCAAGGGGAAGCAGTAAGATGAGAAGGAGGAGAATTATGCCCTTTATATGCAAACTACATTATTAAGCGTACACTGTTTGCCTGCAAGCCTAGAGTTTACTCTGCATTACCTTTAAAGAAAATGAAAAGAATGCCCCACAGAGGAACTTACATTGGCCACAAGAAAAGCTGAATCTGTAACCTGCATAAATGATGTAAATTAGCATTATTATTTTGAAAGATTTACCCAGCATTTTCACTAATAATGCTTTCTATACTAGAAGTCACCAATGTGGGGCCAATGGGCTCCATGGAGGCTTGCAAAGCTATCTACTCCCCTCTGTGCCAGAAATGTTGCCAATGACTATGATTGAAATAATGGTAATAGCTGCTTCTTCCCAGTTCCTGCTTGACCCTGTCTGTGCATTGGGCCTGGTGGGGCAGAGGACATGGCAGTGAGTGGTAGGTGGAGCTAAAAGTTGGTGTCCCCACGTCCTCTTGCTTTGCCCATAGGAAGCGCAATGAGTTCCAAATAGCAGGGCTGGCTGGATGCAATGGATGCTCTTGGAGAGGGTCTCAGTGGGGTTGGACAGACCCTGCCAGGGCTTGCGGATGAGGATCCAGGAGAAGGTGCTAGTTTGGCGGGGTCCTCTCTCCCTGATCCCATCACCCAGGCATGCAGCTTCTGCATCTCAGGCGCTGCCAGGGTGCACTCCAGACATCTTGCTTGTGAGGCTAATCCTGCCTCCAAAGGCATCTGAGTCTGTCTCTGGTTTGGCCCCTCAAGAGAAACCTGTCTACTCCAGAGGATTCACAGCACAGGCATGAGCCCAGTCTTATCAAAGGAATGCCCGCTGGCATTTATAGTCTAAGGAACAGTCCCGCTTGCCGGGCTAAGTTTGTGCCCATATCATGGGATCATAGGTGAGGAGGAGGTTGCTTGTTGGACCAACGTCTTAGCTTGCTTAGCCATGCATTGCATCTGCAGGGTCTTGAACTTCCCTTTGTTTACGTACTGCACTGATTTCAGTATTAACGGTTTTGTTGAACCCATAATTTGAGTTCTTCGCCCAGTGGGAACCAGGACAGGAAGCTGCCAAGACAGACCTTCGGTTCCTCTTGCTCAGTACCGTCTGCACAGCACTTGTCCGCGGATTCAGGCAGGGACCTTTCCTTTACCTGGAAATACCAGGGATTAACCCGACAGGACCTTCTGCATGCAAAGAAGATGCTCTGCTACTGACTTGCACTCCTACTCCTCCAGAATGCTAAGATTAAGAAATTAAACAGATGAAGCCATTCATCACCTGGCTAGAGAAACTTCCATTCTGAGCTTCTACATGTATAGTTAGAAGTAAGTTCCCCCGTGATGAAAAGATTTTATTCATTAGTGCACAGGACTGCTGCACTGATAAGCTTACTTTTCGTTCTCATTAGCTTTTTGTGTGTATCTGGCTGCTGCTAAATTCAGAAGAGCAGAGCCAATGAAAAAGAAGCAGCTGGCATTCCTGCTGCCAGAGAGATGCCTTGCAGAGACAAGTAGGGCTACCACCATTTTTCACAATCCTCCAAGGACCACCATTTTGGAGACATTTTCTTTTCCATTCCGAGTATCATCCATTTTGAAGTAAGCAAAACTGTACGCATGTTTTATGTTTGAGTACCAAGTACAAAATTATCTCCCCAAAGCCCTGAGATTCCTGATAACTTGTCCCCAGACAGAAGCAGCTCGGACCTGCCAATGGTTCTACTTCATTTTTCCCCTACAAATTGTGGAGAATTTAGGGAAACTCCACAGAATTGCTCTCCTTTACAATGCTTTGATGGGCTGAATGGAACTCCCCTATCTACCCATTGACAACAGGGGAACAGAGCAGGCAGGTGTGCTCAAAATATTAATCCACTGGCTCTCCCAAAGCTTCTCTAAAGACACTTCCTTAAAGGTCTAGGGCAGGGGTCTGCAACCTTTAAGACAAAAAGAGCCACTTGGACCCGTTTCCAAAGGAAAAAAAACTGGGAGCCGCAAAACTCGTCATTATAAAAATAACTTTTTTGTCACTTTTTAATTATTTCTTTGTTTGACCCCTCAGAATTACTCCTCCTCATAGAAATAAACGTTAAATTAACAAGTTACCTTTTTGTGTGTGTGTGTTCTTCACTCCCCTTCAAAACAGTGACCAGCGTACATGCCCCTTACAATGTAGCGGGCGGGCGGGTGGGAAGGTGACGTCGGGACGGTGTGTGACTAACGCACGCACCGCCCCCATGTGACCTCACAGCCAGTACAGCACCCGCCACAGTGGGGAGTGTTGGGGCGCACCATGCGCCTCCTCCCCTCGCTAGTATCTGCCCTGGAGCCGCGGCAAAGGTGTAAAATAGCCACATGCGGCTCCGGAGCCGCGGGTTGCAGACCCCTGGTCTAGAGCAAAAGTACCTTCTCAACTGCCCTTTATTTCAACAGCTGCCTTTGCCCTTACTGTATACTCACAGCGCCTGCTATCCAAATGCTCATTGTACAAAAATTCACTTATCCAAAGATGAGGAATTAGTGCCCAGACCTCGCAATACACACCACAGGTACCCAAACAGCCAGACCTACATGTAGTACTGTAAACACATAAGCAGCCTTAAGCAAACTTTGCTTTTTGTGTTTTGGTCTGCAGCAACCGTTTCACTTGCAAAAAGCAAGCAAATAAGCAAAAGGTGCTCTCTTATTTTTCTGCTGTCTCCCTTTCCCTCCTTTTGCAAACTTTCAGAGGTTTTCCAGGTTTTTTTTCGTGTGTGTGTGTGTGTGTGTGTGTGTGTGAAAACTCCATGTTCAAGAATGCATTAGAAATTTCCCTATAGTAAGCAATGGAAATCGTTAGCTCGTTATGTGAAACGTTCACCCAATGAACAATTTCCTGAAAACGCGTTGTGTTTGGATAGCAGGACTTGCGTGTGCACACTTATTCCCTCCAACAGAGTTGAAATTCCCAGAGTGGTTTAACAATAAATCTCTCTTCCCAATGAACTCTGGGAATTGTAGCCTTGAGATGGGAAGAGGAGTCTCCTAACAGCTCTCAGCACCCTTAACAAACTGCAGTTCCCAGAATTCTTTGGGGGAAGCCATGAATGTTCAAAGGGAGAGTGAGACTGATTTAAGTTCCTGTGCATGTTCCCATGGGGGTCTTAGGAAAAGAAGGTGGCTCCTCTCCATACAACTTTTGTAAGGAGTGGGTATCCAGACCCCAAATTAAGAAGGAAGAAAGTTGGCAATGGGTATGGAGACTTACATAACCTCCCTTCTCTCGGCCAAGTCTTCTCACCAACCGCTGCTTCTCGCATCAGAACAGGAAGCAGATTAAAGAGGCAATTTAAGGTTCCTTTATTTCTACTGCTGCAGTCAGCCATCAGAGAAGTGTTGAGGGGCAAGGAGCAAAAGAATGACTGGGAGATGAATTATGAACCTGGATCATGAATTATGCACCCACGGTTTTCCTGCACTGCCATAGGATTATGACAATAATTACAAATCACGAATAAATGGCATGCTTGCAGCACTATCGGTATGCAATAACTGGTTGCAATTGAAAATTTAGGAGAACAGGTCAACAGAAAGAGCCTTATAAACTCTCACCAGTTAATACTCCATACCCCAGCCTCCCTTTCCTGTGTCTGTTCTGCCCAATACACAGAAGTCTCCAAATGCTGCTAGATGAGGTCACAAAAGGTCCTTGGCTTGATACCAGGAGGTAGTAGATAATGACTTGCTCCAAAGGGCTCACAAGTTCTAATAAGCAAACAGCAATGCAGCTGAATGTGCGAGGCATGAGCTACAGTGCCGGGAATATCAATCAGAGCTACTGGCATCCCTGCACACCAGAGAGAGAGAGAGAGAGAGAGAGAGAGAGAGAGAGGGGTGGGGTTGGGGTTGGGGTTGCAAAAAGCTGGGGCTTTTATACACAGAAGTACTTCTGTACGGATTGGAAAGTGGTGCAAAGGGTGGAGCCACTGACGTAGCTTTCAACAGAGTCAAACACTTCAGACTGCACTGTCATGGCACACAACAACAACAGTTGTTATTATTAGAATAATAACAATAATAAAGTTGTGTTGATTATTATTATTATTATTATTATTATCATTGTTGATAATAATGATATGCTATCTAATGATATGCTATCTAATGATAATGATATGTTATCTATGACAAACCTAGACAGCATCTTAAAAAGCAGAGACATCACCTTGCCAACAAAGGTCTGTATAGTAAAAGCTATGGTTTTCCCAGTAGTGATGTATGGAAGTGAGAGCTGGACCATAAAGAAGGCTGATCGGCGAAGAATTGATGCTTTTGAATTATGGTGCTGGAGGAGACTCTTGAGAGTCCCATGGACTGCAAGAAGATCAAACCTATCCATTCTTAAGGAAATCAGCCCTGAGTGCTCACTGGAAGGACAGATTCTGAAGCTGAGGCTCCAAGACTTTGGCCACCTCATGAGAAGAGAAGACTCCCTGGAAAAGACCCTGATGTCGGGAAGATGGAGGGCACAAGGAGAAGGGGATGACAGAGGACGAGATGGTTGGAGAGTGTTCTTGAAGCTACCAGCATGAGCCTGACCAAACTGCGGGAGGCAGTGGAAGACAGGAGTGCCTGGCGTTCTCTGGTCCAGGGGGTCACAAAGAGTCCGACATGACTAAACGACTAAACAACTAAACAACAACAACAACAACAACAAATGCTATCTACATTGTGTTCTGCATTGTGTTTGATAGGTTCCTATCACAGGAGCTTACAGTTTTAAAATAAATACAAGTGAAACAACAGAGGAAGCGGAGAATGGAGTCAGGGCAAAAGGGGAAGAGTATGTGATCATTGCAATTACATGAATTTTGGCTTAGTTACAACAGGGTGCTGGCTGTTCCAGAGGCTCCCTGCAAAAGGTGAGTTTTGAGGGGCAACTTGTAAGGGAAGGGTTGAATTCTGGGAGGGAGCAGTCAGTAATTTAATTTTTTAAAAAAGGAATTTAATGGACAAATTTGGGGGATCTTGGATCCCCCCAAAAAACTTTTGACATCACAGTATCACAGAGTGGGAACCTATGGGAATAGTCATTAAAAAAAAAATTAGGTCCAACTTTTTTGATCTGCGGAACTGTGCACAGTTACAGGTGCCACATAATATTCATTCTGCTGTATAAATCATTATTCTAGTGTGGCAGCACCTACACTTTGGAACCCCCCTGCCTACTGATATCTGGAAGACACCTTTGCTGTACTTTTTTCGGTGCCTGTTTAAAATGTTTTTGTTTAGGCAAACTTATCCAGACATGTAGAAAATTCACATCTGTTTTAATCCCCTTTTAGCTTATATTAGATACCATTTCATGCCATTACTTTTTAGCCTCAGGACAGTTCCACCAGCAGTGGATTAACTCTGTTCTATCCATTCCACATCCATCTATTTCCAGCACTCATCATTTCCCACTTTGTATATGTTGTGTATAAATACCACAATATCCAAAGTTTAACAGAGTCCCTCCCCTCACAGACATCAATATAGATTTATCCATCCTTGAGGAACTGATAGCCCATGCAGCACTGCTGTTAAATGGCATTAAAATACAACACAGCACGGTTTGCAAGAAGTTTTGTAAGGTGAATTATTTGAAATATTGCAAAAAAAGATAATGAGGAGAATTCTTAGTTAAAGATAATTAAATATGGAATTAAGAAATGCATAATAAGTGATAAGAATGGAAAATCATCAGAGGTGTTGACGGAAGTCCAAAAATTATTGTATAAGATGAGAAGTTTTGTTGTATGAATGATAAGTAATATGTTAAAAACTAATAAAAATGTATATAAAAATAAAATAAAACACAACATAGCACTTTAGTAATTTCCTCCCATTTTGTAACACAGTCAATTTTTTGTTCTATCTCCCACGTGAATAACAATTTGATATTTTTGGGACGATTTTTTTCCAGGTTTTTGACAAATTGATTTCTCAAACTTATATGGCCATTTATTTTAAGAATCTCTAATTCAAAAATATTAATATAATATGAATTCTACATTATCCAAAGCTTCCCTCGTTTGATCTATAGACATTATTTGATTATTACCAATTTGTTCAACCATAATTTTCCAGCCCTCCTTTATGCCAGTTAACAAACTACTCCATGGTTTCATTTTTACTGAATGGTGGATAAAATAGCAGAGATGTAATTAGTGATGTCAATAGACACAGTTTGCTTTTTATTTATCCCATATAGTGCAAAGTGCTGGAGAAACAACCCTTCTCCAATATTCTGTCTTTTGGGTCCATCCATAATAATAAATTTGATGGGATTGTTACAAAACATTCCTCTACTGCTTCTATTTCTCCTTGTCCTGGTTGATAATACCATTTGGTAATCCAAATTATTTGCCTGAAATTCATTTATTAAATCAGGAGATGACAACCCTCCCTTATTTTTGTTGGTGTACGTTATTTTAGCTTTAACTTGTGGTGTTTTTGTTTTTCAGCCCATATAAAACTGATATTTAATCGTTGCCAAGTTATTACCTTGATGTTGCCCTCTCTGCAGATTAAATTTTGTAGATAAGCTTCCTTTCACTAAAACTCTTGCTTGGAGTAAACTGAATCTATTTTATAAAACTTGTTCCGAAGACAACTTTTTTCAGCACATATAAAAGATAGGACCATTCAACCCTATCAAAAGCTTTTTAGTGTCGACAAAAGTGATAAATGATTCCCCCATTGATGAAATTATTATATTTATCATTTCAAGGATATTATATGCCATTCTCCTTCTAAGAAAAACCTACTGTATAAATTTATTTATGCATTACCACATCAAAGCTCCTTGCCAGTGTTGATGCAAATATTTTTAATCAGAATTTAATAATGATACTGGATTATGCTGTATGGGTAGTAATAAATTCTTTTCTGGTTTGGGAAAAATCATGACTGAATCCTCATTCAATGTTTGTAGGATTTTACCTTCCCTCAACATGGAATTACAGGAATCGCCCTATGTCCATGTGATCAGCACGCATGTGCCATTTACAGCACTGCAAGGGGGTGGGGGTGGTCATGAATGCACTTCTGTGTGAGTGGGGAGTTTCCTGTAAAACATACAATTGTATAGTTGGAAGGTATCCCAATGGTCATCTAGCCCAACCCCCTGCAATGCAGGCAAGTGCTTTGTAGAACTCAAATGAAAATCCATCAGGTCTGGACGATTTTTGAATTTTGGCTTTTGCTATTATTTTCCTTACTTCTTTTTCTTGAATTGGAGCATGCAAACATTCTTTTTCTACACCTGTTAGGAAAAAACTTTTGTTTTTTCTTGTATTTGTGGACTTTTGGAAGACATAACTTGATATAATATTTCTTAAACCCTTCCTTTAGTTCTTGCTCATTAAGAACATATTGATTATCATCCTTCCTATTAAGTGGAATTACTTGCTTTCTAAACTTCTTTCTTAAATAATATGCGAGTAATTTATCATCTGTTACCTTTATTTTAAAGAACCTGCTTTCTTGCTAAACCAAACTGTGCTTTCACTGTAATAGCCTTTTAGCCTCTAATAATTTTTCATTAATCATTTTCCTTGCATCCTTTCCCCCCTTAGATGCACCTTTTTTTAATTCCCCCCCCAAAAAACGGCCGTAGCCGATTCCCATAATATAGAATCATTAATGTTTGGGGTATCATTATTATTTAAGTTCCTCTGAAACAGTTTTAACAAAAGACTCACTCCGTATTAAGAACAAATTAAGATTTGCATTATATTGTAAAGTTAATATTAAAACTAATTGGGCTGTGATCACTATATAGAGTAGTACCAAGAGTTGCATAGTCAATCCTTTGTGTTAATTCTGATGATGTAAAACAAATATTTGTGAATAAATATCAGGTACTCTGGAGTAATATGTATAATCTCTTTAATAATAATAATAGGCTGGTTTTATTTTAAAGTATTTCTGAGATTACTCATAATACGTTTAGAGAATGCAGTAGCTAGGTTGATGACTGGAGCAATTTATCACTGGCCTGTTGTGCTTCCTAGAATATTTGAGGGCTCTTTGCATCCTTTCTCTCACCTGAGACAACTGAGGAATGGAAGGAGAAGTGTAAAACAGCCACCCTGCCCCTTTGAGTGTCCTCCCTTCTTGCCGCATTCAAAAAATGGCAGAAGTCTGAGTGAAGCAGGGTGGAATAACACGGAGGGCTTGTTTTTCTAAAAGCAAGGAAACAAAGCAGTTTGAAGAATGAGAAATATCAAGAGAAGCTACAATGCAGAAGCTAACAAAGCAGAGGCTTTCCCTAACTTCCTTCCTGCTGTCCTCAATCCCTGTTTTAAATTGCCACTTTCCTTCCTTCATTGTCACCCCTACTCAACACTATATTAACCTCTGCCACCGTTTAAAATCTCTACCATTTCGTTTCCATTGGTGTTTCATTCAAACCTCTGCTGTTGTTTAAAACTGCACTCCTGCTTTACTCAAATATCTGTAGTTTAAAACAATTTTTTCCCTTAGTGTTGCTTTACCGCTGCTTTACTCAAACCTCTGCCCTTATTTAAAACAGCCACTTCTTTTTCAGTGTCTCTCTTTTTATTCTCAAACTTCTTCCTCAGCTTCCTCATGTGAGAGATAAAAGATGCAGAACTTTACTCAGACCTCTGTCATGGTGTAAAACTGCCATTTTACTCTCAGTTCCCTCCACCCGTTTTACTCAAATGTCTGCTGTTGTTTTACGCCACCACTTTCCCTGTCTGTGGTGGCTGCTGGTGATGTACAGCCTACCGTCTCTTTTGCTCCCTGACCTGACTCTGAATTTATGCAATTTCTTCAGTGGGGGCTGTGCTCCGACTTCAACGAAATCCAGGATTATGATGCAGCACTACAAATGATAGCAGCCTTGCATTTTTATGTATATAGGAAGATATGTGCAACACTAACCTGGAGAGCATGGTAGTGAGTCCAGGTGTGGCACAAAGCCTCAAGCAAGAACATGAGTGCGGGAATTGCTAGTTGGTTTTGTCCTCACTTAGGGACGCGGGTGGTGCTGTAGCCTTAACCACAGAGCCTAGGGCTTGCCAATCAGAAGGTCGGCGGTTCGAATCCCCGCAATGGGGTGAGCTCCCGTTGCTCGGTCCCTGCTCCTGCCAACCTAGCAGTTCAAAAGCACATCAAAGTGCAAGTAGATAAATAGGTACCACTCCGGCGGGAAGGTAAATGGCATTTCTGTGTACTGCTCTGGTTCGCCAGAAGCGGCTTAGTCATGCTGGCCACATGACCTGGAAGTTGTATGCCGGCTCCCTCGGCCGGTAAAGCAAGATGAGCGCCGCAACCCCAGAGTCGTCCGCGACTGGACCTAACGGTCAGGGGTCCCTTTACCTTTACCTTTGTCCTCACTTATTTTTGTTGTCTTAATCAGTAACAAGGGGAGCATTGGCCATGCATCCCCTCCCCAGAGTATGGTGGGAGGGCTTTCTTGCTCCTGAAGGTGTGAAATGGGGTTTCTTTTGCAAGAGGATACACTACAGGAGGTATCAGGGACAGGTGACGCACCTAATGGCCACTGACACCTAAGAAAAAACGATGCAGGAGGTAGTGACTAAGGATGAGTATTGTCTCTTCCCCTATCCTGCCCATGTGAAGGTTCTTGCATTTTGAGAATCTTTGGCTAAATGCCCAGTGACTGAGAGGTTACCTCCAAGTGAGTTATGAGCACTGCAAAGAAGAGAGGTGGTGATGGAGACTGTGGACGAGCAACAGTGGGAAGGAGCAGCAGCAGATGATAAAGAGCTGCTGACACAAGGAGAGGTCTGGTGATGGGGGTGGGCAATGCACACTAACACACAAACCAGGGCAGGGGGCACCGGTGGCTGTTGACTTAGCAGCAACAGATCAGGGGTCATCAGCGGGACTCCCAGGGTTTTTATCGTGAAACATTTTTTGATTTATAGGTTTGGTATTCCTGGATTTTAAAGAACTGTGACATTTTGGGAGCTGCTGTGACTTTCATTATATTGCTTCTGTTTTTATGCTGTGTTTAGATATTGCGGTTTTAATTTCATAGGCAATGTTTTACCTTTATTGTAAGGCACCTGGGGAACTCTTGTTATTTGGTTGGCATATAAACATTGCAAACAAATAAATCAAAATTCAAGCAGCCTCTAGCCTGAAAATACAAATTAGCAAAAGAAGATGGACAGACCTGAAGCAGAAAGCCTCATTTTAGTGGACAGTGCAATTTTATAACAAACTGCAGTTGACAAGCTGGAACCAATTTCCATATTACTGACAGCAACCTGCCACAAGATGGAGATAGCAGGTAAGAGAGGAGACCCTACCTTTCCAACTAAAGTTTGTGTGCAGTTAGACCCCGACAGCAAGCCCAACTGAACTCAAGGAGATTTACTTCTGCATAGGACTGCACTGCAAGTCACAGCAGCTTCCGCTACTGAATTATTTTAACATGTCTTGAAAAAAAAGTCTTTACAATCTAATGAAAAAGAATCTCACCAAAGCTACACACACCATTGGAACAGTTCACTGTCCATCATGGGCACACTCTATGCATTTGAAGCCATAACCTGTGCCGTCTTATTTTATAAAATAAATCTTATTAATTTTTAAAATATAGACAAAATACAAACAACACAAAACATATGGATAAACAAGGAAAGAGGGGCGAAGTGACTAGAGTGGATAAAAGGGAGGGGAAGGTAATAGAAGATTATAAAGGTAAAGGGACCCCTGACCGTTAAGTCCAGTTGCGGACGACTCTGGGGTTGCGGCGCTCATCTTGCTTTACTGGCCGAGGGAGCCGGCGTACAGCTTCTGGGTCATGTGGCCAGCATGACTAAGACACTTCTGGCGAACCAGAGCAGCACACGGAAACGCCGTTTACCTTCCCGCCGGAGTGGTACTTATTTATCTACTTGCACTTTGACGTGCTTTTGAACTGCTAGGTTGGCAGGAGCAAGGACCGAGCAACGGGAGCTCACCCTGTTGCGGGGATTCAAACCGACCTTCTGATCGGCAAGCCCTAGGCTCTGTACCCTACATTAATTAATTAATGTACCCTACATTAATTCATGTGATGCAACTTTTATAGCCACAATCCAAGGCATTAAAAAAGTATTCTACCATAATCTAAACCCTAAAATATATCCTCTCCACAGACTTAATTGGACCATTGAGGGTCCATGTTCCGTCTCTGTTGTATTGACATATATCAATGATTTAGACCAAATAGCACAAAAAGGATCTGATTTATGTTCTCCCCTCATTTTTTTTATTTTTTGGTATGTGATGTGCTTAAGGGCTCATAGTCTTATTTAAGGGTATGAACCTGTTTCAGATGAAGCAACAAGTTTATTCTGCTTATGGCCTCAAAGACCACCCTGCTGAAGCCTCAGAACCTCATGGAAGGCTAAGATTTCCACCAGTTATGTGAAGGGCTTCAGTGACTTGCTGCCATGCCTTTATCTGACCTGGTACCAGACATTTGTCCTCAGAGACATTTGTCCTCAGAGACAAACCAGAAACATCACTGGTTAAGGAGCTGGCAGGGCCCCTTGGAATCAGTGCTGAGAAGACCCACTGAAGAGTCCTTGGTGTTGTCAGAAGAGGAGGTCCTTGTGAGTGCTGGCACCAAAAGATCAAGGTCCAGGCCAGACAGCAATGACACAGCATGTTTCTACAATCCCAGAGTTGTCGCCTGGCCTCATGAGTAAGCAATCTCGGAAATGCCTTCATTACTAGCTGCAGTAGTGTGATCTAGAAGGGCAGATTAAAGGAGGTCTCCTTCTTGAGCCTTCCAGTTTGTGGAAATAACTCAAGCTGCTGACTCCTTGGTCCAGTTACCCCTCCTTGTTGTGCTGTATCTTGCCTGAAGTCCCTGTGATAATGACCTTGAGCTGTTGCCCCCCCTCCCCACCTCTGGGTTGTATTTTGGACCTAGATGGATTCTCTGTGCTTGACTTTGGCTTGTCTGAGCAGTGCTGCACCTGCAACCCTGCACTCATTTTGGTATTAGCTTATACCACCTGAGATTGGGACCCCAGACCCTGAGGATACCCACTGGACCACGGCTCCTCTTAGATCCTTGCCTGCTCCCCAAGATGAGCAGAACTAGGATCTAGATTGGTATCGGAAAGCTTTTAATGTTTGATGTTTTGATGTGTTCCTTTACATTTTGTTGGAAGGCACCCAGAGTGGCTGCAGCAACCCGGTCAGTTGGGTGGAGTACAAGATTTATTATTATTGTTATTATTATTATTAACCATCTCTCTCTGCCTTTTTCCTTCTCCTTAAAGCGAAATTCACGTGCACACACTCAAAAAGCCATGAAAGAAAATAGTGCTGCTGCTATTGACTTCCCCTAGGTCAGACAATCCACTTGCAGGTTCCAAGCCATCAGCAGAAGGCTAGGTGTACAGGGAACCAGTGGAAGCTGGTCCACCAGGGTTATCAGGGCACAGCCAGGGCTTTTTTCCCGTGGGAACTCACTGGAACTCAGTTCTGGCACCTCTCAGGTGGGTACCATTGCCATTCTAAGAGAACGAGGGAGGTGTTCATGGCAAGTTCCGGCACCTCTTTTTCTACAAAAATAGCACCGGGCACAGCCCTCCTAATGTGTATGTCAAGCATTTTAAAGATAAACTTATTTCAAAGCTACACTCTCTTTCCTGCCCCCCCCCATTTTATAATTCTGATTGAAGTCTGAGGTTCTGCAAACGTTGCTGTCAATCAGCTCTCTGCCCCACACAGCCAACCCCAAATTCCTCCCATGCATCTCTAAGCAAAAAAGGCAAGTGATTGAATGGACTTGTCCAGCTAAAAAATCTGTGGTTAAGAGGGCTATCCAGCACAGCCACTATAGCAGACTTGGGAGGTGTTAGGACTGCCTCAAGAACAGCCTTAGCCTAGGTCAGAACCAGGCATCTGTTCTGAGCATGCTCAGAGCTGTTTCCTTGAAGACCACACATACCCAGCCAGGCCTTAGGAGTGCCCTTGTTCTCTGAGCTCCCTTGCTGCCTTTTTGTGTAACTGAGCAGGACTGGCTGCAAAGTGGCTTTGTTGTCTTTCCCTATGTATTTGTTTTACTTATACAATTTTTGTTACATGGATGGAGATACTGGGAGCACTTTAAGGGTTTGCAAGTGTATTGTTACATAAATGTTCACGGTTTACCACAAATGATGCGTTGGACGAAGTGGACTTTAGCCTCCAAAAGCTTATGCACTAATAAACGTGCTGGTCCTTTCCCTGTTTTGCTGAAATTGTACTGCAATACAATCTATTTTAAAGGCTTCTAAGGATAAAAAGAGTATGGAACACTTGGGCAAATTTAAATTGCATTACAAAAGGCTCAAACAAGAACACTGTGCACGGGTTGCAGTCTCTTCTTGCACACCACACCCAGGCAAGCCTGTTGCAACAGGCAAGGCACATGCTGGATTTGCTGAAGAGCTACCTATAAAGTCTTATGTTTCTAGGTCCGCATATCGCAGCTGTAGACCAGATCATTTCCCCCTTTGATTCTGGGTTGCTGTTTTTCATTTGTTTGTTTAATGATTCCAAACCGGCCCTCCACACCTCCCCAATGCAAAACCAGGGGCAGGAAGGCTGGATATTTACTTTTTAAACAATTCTCATTTCTTTTAATCATTATTGGGTTTGTGTCCATTCCACCCTTCCTCCAAGGAGCTCAATTCAAAGTGTTGGTGCTGACCTTTAAAGCCCTAAACGGCATCGGTCCTGTATACCTGAAGGAGCGTCTCCACCCCCATCGTTTTGCCCGGACACTGAGGTCCAGCACCGAGGGCCTTCTGGCAGTTCCCTCACTGCGAGAAGCCAAGTTACAGGGAACCAGGCAGAGGGCCTTCTCGGTGTGGCGCCTTCCCTGTGGAACGCTCTCCCACCAGATGTCAAAGAGAACAACAACTACCAGACTTTTAGAAGACATCTGAAGGCAACCCTGTTTAGGGAAGCTTTTAATGTTTGATGTATAGCAGTATTTTAATATTTTTTTGGAAGCCGCCCAGAGTGGCTGGGGAAGCCAGCCAGATGGGCGGGGTATAAATAATAAATTATTATTATTATTATTATTATTATTATTAGGTGGCAGTCATGGGTCTCCTTTCCCCCGTGTTATCCTCACAAAGACCTTGTGGAGTGTGTTAAGCTGAGAGACTGGCCCAAGTCAGACAGTGAACTTCATGACTGAGTGAGGATTTGAATCCCGGTCTCCCAGCTCCTGGTCCACTTAATATCCTTTCTCCCTATTCCACATTCTGGAAAGATGATGTAGAAATGACTAAGATCGCTGTATCCTCCCAAACAGTGCCTGTGGGGCACCTTTATGACTAACCTACTCAGGCTGCAATTCTGTACAAGCTTATGAGGTGGCAATCCCAGGGATTCATTGAGGCCTGCTTCTGAGTAATGTACGGTTTCTTTGACTTGAACACACACTAGAAATTGTGGTGGCAACTCTGAACCAAGGCACAACACTTAGGTATAAAAAAAATCCACTATTTCATTGCAAAGGGAGGGGGAGAGAACCAGAACAGGTGGGGCCGCACATATTTCTTTCCTGCAGAGAAGCAACTGTGGCAGCAGCTGTATCCTGGCTGTATCTGTAGTATCTTTGCAAGGGAGCCGGGTGGAGAGAAAACCAGAACTGGCCACACCCATAAGATCTCATTGGCCATGCCCCCATGCTTCTGCTCTTGGAGGCGAGTGTCAGTACAGAGGCATGCTCAATAACTCAGTGATGGGTTTCACAACAGCCAATTCATCCTTCATCTCTGGTCGCTGATATCCCCTGTAAGAGATTAGAATTGAGCCACATAAGTGGAACCTGACCAGCGAGTGACATAAGTCGGCAAAGTGCTGTTCTGGGCAGGCCTTAGGTGGTTCAAAAATCTTCATAAAGGCAGCCAAGAAAGCATCCCAGGATGGAGAAGTGGGCTTTCCCATTCAGGGACGGAGATACCCAGTCGAGATCTTCTCTCCATAGTGCTAGAACCAATTCAGTCTTGTCCATGTGACAGGTCTCAGGCTGCAGCATAGACAATAGCTTGGCACTGGGCAATAAAACTATGCAAGTTTGGGTGCTATTAAAACATTTGTGTAAAGGCATTTGGAGCTGTGAGTTCCTGGCTTGTGGTACAATGGTTTTCTGATAGTCTTCTGTCTTGTCTAAGAACAACTAGTTTTCTGCCTGGTGATGATCTGTTCCTGCAGAACCTGGGGCCCAGTTGTGGCTCGATCCATTATGTTTTTGGGAGTACAGTGGTAGCTTGGGTTAAGTACTTAATTTGTTCCGGAGGTCTGTTCTTAACCTGAAACTGTTCTTAACCTGAAGCACCACTTTAGCCAATGGGGCCTCCCGCTGCTGCCGCACCGCTGGAGCACAATTTCTGTTCTTATCCTGAAGCAAAGTTCTTAACCTGAAGCACTATTTCTGGGTTAGCAGAGTCTGTAACCTGAAGCGTATGTAACCCAAGGTACCACTGTAATGTAAACCCATAGATTAATGGAGTCTGAGCAAACTGTCAGGAACCACTAGAGGCAGAGAGTCCAAACAGGCTCACAATCAGCTTCCAAACAAAGGAGATAATGAACCCAAAGGGGTGCTGATCAGGTTCTAGAGAAAGATCTCCAGAGGGCCTTCTCCCAGCCAAGTGGAAAACCAGTTTTTCTACTGGAAATGCTGGGGCTTAAAATCCCAGTGGCATTCCTGGCAGAAATGGATGCACCAGGGACCTGGAGCATCTGCTCCCACCTCCACTGCCAGTGCAGGCAAGATGCTGGTCCTTTGGAATCAGAAGGGATGGGCAGGAGGGCACTCCACAAGCAGCCTGATCATTCTGCTGGTGCTTCAACCAGACGTTCACAGGCTTTTAGATCAGGCCTTGAGTTGGTGGTTCTTCCATGGTCAGGTTCCCAAATGGGCAAATGATATGATGAAGTGAACTTGAGGGAAGGCAGAGCAGGCATCTGTTTAGCATCTTCTGTCATGGGTGAGTTGCTCAGAATGAGGAACCAAACCTGAAGCAAGAGCTAGATAGGAGTTCCTTGCGTCATATGCTATGGCCAGAGTGCCAAGCAGCAACCCCATTCCTGGCTTTTACTAGGGCACTACTGCAACACAATAGAGATGAAGCTGGAGACCCTCTCTTCCCGAGGGCTTCTCTGGTGGTGCACTGGGAGCCTACGGGCAGACTTCCCGATTCAAGGTCCCAGACCCCTTACACTTGTTCAATCCCCACCTGCTTTTGTAGAAGCACCAGAATGAGGGCAAGAGAGTAGAAGAGCAGAGCCAGGACTTTCCCACGGTTGCATATTCCCTGCAATCCCCCTAGTTCTTAGAAGGATTCTTGGCTTAAGGAACGTGATTGGTCAATGTCACAAATGACAGCTGGTGTGATGGGGTCACCAGAGGGTTGGACTAGGGCCTGGGAAACAGGGGATCAAATCCCTGCTCAGCTGGGAAGCTCACCAGGTGACCTTGGGCCAGTCTAACCTACCTCACAGGGTTGTTGTTGTTGTGGGGATAGAATGGGGAGGAAGAGGAACCACGTGTGCCACCCTGTGCACCTTGGAGGAACGGTGGGATATAAATGTAATATATAAATAAAACAACAACAACAATAACATGAAATAATTATGGCTAGGGATTTTAATGCTGTCACTTTCTATGGGCACTTTTGAAAACCCAGAAAATACCGTATTTTTTGCTCTATAAGACTCACTTTTTCCCTTCTAAAAAGTAAGGGGAAACGTGTGTGCGTCTTATGGAGCGAATGCAGGCTGCGCAGCTATCCCAGAAGCCAGAAGAGCAAGAGGGATTGCTGCTTTCGCTGCGCAGCGATCCCTCTTGCTGTTCTGGCTTCTGGGATTCAGAATATTTTTTTTCTTGTTTTCCTCCTCCAAAAACTAGGTGCGTCTTGTGGTCTGCTGCATCTTATAGAGCGAAAAATACGGCACCCAATACAAGTGTTTAGAAAGGTGTACTCTAACCCACCTGCCGCCTGCCACTCTCCTGAACCTCCCCAAACATGAACTCTATTCTCCTTAGCATCCTCAGCAGGATGGAGCAAAGGAAGGGTCCCTTTCGCCCTCCCTCCTCCTTCCTGCCATTGCTCTCCGTTGCACAGACTAAAGGCAGGGTGGGATGCTAGAGCGCTTATGAAGAGCTTCTCCAATGCAATGCAATATGGAAAAGAAATCTAGATCACAGCCCCAAACTTTCACCACCCTAATACCCAGAAAGGGTGTGCAAAAGAAAAGAGGGCACACTCCCTTTGCGTATCCCCACTGAGCTGAATCACCCTGCTGGACTTCTCGAAGAAGAAGAAGAAGAAGAAGAAGAAGAAGAGGAGTTTGGATTTGATATCCCGCCTTTCACTCCCTTTAAGGAGTCTCAAAGCGGCTAACATTCTCCTTTCCCTTCCTCCCCCACAACAAACACTCTGTGAGGTGAGTGGGGCTGAGAGACTTCAAAGAAGTGTGACTGGCCCAAGGTCACCCAGCAGCTGCATGTGGAGGAGTGGAGACGCGAACCCGGTTCCCCAGATTACGTGACTACCGCTCTTAACCACTACACCACACTGGCTCTCAAAGAAAATGGGAAGGGGCAGGAGCAGCTTCTTCCTCTTCCTCTTCCTCGGAACGGCCATACACTTGCCAGCTTTAGTAGATGGATGAGGAAGCAACAGCCGCCGCCCTGTGCCACCTGCCCTCTTTGGTCCAGGAGAGGGGAGAGAAGGTAAACCATTGCCATGGCTGCCACAGAGCGAGGAAGGGGTGTTGCTGAACCCTGCAGTGATGCTCTCAGGGGCTGCTGCATCTCCACAGCCACTGGTCAGCAGTTGGAGATGGTGGGGCCTAATAACAGTGGCAATTTCTGATAAAGTTCTTCTCCTGCTGGTGCTTCAGTTAAGTAGGACAACCTTGCTTCCAAACCAGCTCCTGATGACTACACGGCTGGCAGTTTCATGTGTCTGTCCACCCCCACCAATTTTCTGCTCCTCCTTCTCCTGCGCAAGCTCCACCCAGACTTAAACCAACATCAAGTTTTTGAGGGTATCCTATCTGCTGCTGCTTTGGGATTAAGTGTAGGCCACCATCTCTTTCTTCCCCCATCCCATCCACGTTGCAAAGAGTCTCTGCCTCCCCTTGCGCTGTGTGCAAATGGGCCGGTCCTTTGTGCAATTTTATTATTATGCTGTTACCATTTCATTTATGAATCGCTTTCTATGAGGTGTCGTGAAATGATTTACATAAAAGCAAATATAAAACAGCTACATATGTAAAAACACTTAAAACAATTGCACTTATAAAACACTTTAAACAACTACTATGAGACATGCCTTAGCAGGATAATAATAATAATAATAATAATAATAATAATAATAATAATTTATTATTTATACCCCACCCATCTGGCTGGGCTTCCCCAGCCACTCTGGACAGTTTCCAACAGAACACTAAAATACAATAGTCTATTAAACATTAAAAGCTTCCCTCAACAGGGCTGCCTTCATATGTCTTCTAAAAGTCTGGTAGTTGTTTTTCTCTTTGACATCTGCTGGAAGGGCATTCCACAGGGCGGGTGCCACTACTGAGAAGGCCCTCTGCCTGGTTCCCTGTAACTTGGCTTCTCGCAGTGAGGGAACCACCAGAAGGCCCTTGGCGCTGGACCTCAGTGTCTGGGATCAATGATGGGGGTGGAGATGCTCCTTCATGTATACTGGGCTGAGGCTTTTTAGGTCAGCACCAACACTTTGAATTGTGCTCGGAAACGTACTGGAAACCAGTGTAGGTCTTTCAAGACCGGTGTTATATGGTCTCAGCGGCCGCTCCCAGTCACCAGTCTAGCTGCCGCATTCTGGATTAGTTGTAGTTTCCGGGTCACCTTTAAAGGTAGCCCCGCATAGAGTGCATTGCAGTAGTCCAAGCGAGAGATAACTAGAGCATGCACCACTCTGGTGAGACAATCTGCAGGCAGGTAGGGTCTCAGCCTGCGTACCATATGGAGCTGATAAACAGCTGCCCTGGACACAGAAGTGACCTGTGCCTCCATGGACTGCTGTGAGTCCAAAGTGACTCCCAGGCTGCGCACCTGCGCACAGCTACCCCCACCTCTTCACCCTGATACTCTTCCCCATTTGACTGCGTTTGAGGCTGGGGCAGAGCGAGGAGGGCGCTTATGTACATCCTGCCAGTGTGCATGGTGCCTTGGAACACAAACCCTGCACAAATGGGGAGTTGCCTGTAATCAAATGAGTGCCTTTGTTGGTGGTTGTTTAAAGACAAGATCGACCCCTTACTTAATGAGCCAAGTCACAATTTAACCAGGTGGGGGAAATGTTTTTGTTGGATAGGAAGGCTTCCGGTTGTTAAAATGAAAGCTCCCTCTCCCTACCTATGACCCTCAAAAAACACTTAAGAAGATTCAAATCCACTTAATTAATCCATCAATCCATTGGAGGGTGAGGGACACAAGAATTAGCTTAGAAAATTCACAGTAATTGGTATCCAAGGATGGCTTGAGACTTCTCAGCATGGCAACAATTATTACTACGCTGCCATTTTAATGGTTTTATCCTTTTGGTGGGAGCCAGGTAGTGAACTTGGGGGGCAGTTTGTAGAGCAAACAGGGATAGACCTTGGGAAGGGGCAGAGAAGGAGAGGAGCTCTATAAAATTAAAGAATCATGTAATTAAGTCTGCAACTGTAAACATCTGGGGGAAATATAAATGGATTTTGGCTCTGGGAGTGCCCCTAGTATCACCAGCACTATAGTCTAAAATTTGGGCGCTGAATATTTCTCAATAAGTAGGATAAGTATTGTTTTGGAGATGGTAAAGAAAAAATTGAGCAGATACTGTGATGATCAATATAATTTTACCTTTTGCTGCTATAATAAATAATTACAGAACTACCAGCATTAGGGATGGGGTTCTTAATGTCCAAACATGATATAATATAAAAAGGAAACAAACAGGGTAACCTTATGCAGGTCAACTCAGAAATTGTACTCAAAAGTATTTACTCCCATGCGAGTGTGTATAGGAGCCACAACATGACACTGGAAATATTGAAAAGGGTACATACTATTACAACAGAGGCTGAACCATTTTCAAGTAAGGTAAAATGGGAATTGGACCTGCAGGTGTGTTTTTCAGATAAAGATTGACAGTACCTATATAAAAATTAGCAACCTCTGTATCCTTAAATGTGACCAGTAAAAACAATTAAAACACTTGTGTGTTTATTTGGAACATGTACATACACTACACTTCAACAAAAAGTTCTTAAGACACTTTGGCTTACAACAATGTATTGTTAAAGCTGTTTACATTCTCAGCAGGGACACTTCTACCCCTGAGCAAACTGTGCTGCAAATCTGCTGTGTGCGTACTGCAAATCTAACCCTACAGATGTTTAGCAGATTTGCTGGTTATGTAAGAAAATTAAATACTTAGGGCCCCCATAAAAACACAGCGTGGTGTATTGACCACGGTGTCAGACTGGGACTGGGGAGTCTCAGCTTCAAATCCCTATGCAGCCATGAAGCTCCCTGGGAGACCTTAGACCAGGTAATATCCCTCAGCTTAATCTCCTTCTAAGGGTGGTTGTGAAGATGACACAGGGCCAGGGAGAGTCATATAGGCTGCTTTCTTCTTCTTGGTGGAAAGGCAGGATATAAAAAATTGAAATCCCTGTTGTTCTGAGCACCAAATGGGTGTGAGAAACAATACAAACAGTTCTTTGGATTAAAATAATGCTATCTAGATTATACACTGATAATGCAGCAATAACGCCTCGTGCCAAAAACTGGAGCTCTCAAAAAGTCCTTTTTATGAGGATTTTCTTTCTTCTTTTTTTTTGCAGAAAATACAGTTTGTTATGAGTGCACACAAAGTCACTACTGTGATTTAAACCCATTTGTTTTGTTAAACAGAAATGCATGTGTGTGGAAACAACTGGGGATTTTTTATTTTTTTTAAAATAGTAGGTCCCGTTGGGATAATGCTATAGCAGTATTCCAAACTAATTTGTGAAATATTGTTTATATGGTATTCTTTTAAAAAAGACACATGATTTAATGTGATTCCCCCCCATATTCCCCTTTCCCTGCCCAACATACCATATAAAATAATAATAAAAAATACACAAACAGGCCATATTAAATTACAAACAAAAAAGGAACAATGGAGGATACCAGTGGCAAAATGACTTCTGGAAGGAAAGTCCTTCCCTCCTCCTCATTCTCTTCTCCTCCACTGGCCCAGAGGCTGTGGTACAACAGCCAGACATTCACACTTCACAACATGCTCACTAGCAAACGGGTATTTTATTGCAACCCTTCAATAGGCAAACACCTTTTCACTCTGAGGACATACAAGTCTGGATGGAAGGAGAACATGGCACAGTATCAGGGAGACAAGTCCCCTCCTCTTAATACTTTGGATCTGTTGCAGAACCCTGCACAGAAAACCCTCTACAGGTCACTAGCTTGAAGCACAGACAGGAAAGGACAAAGCCTACCGAAGCCACACCACCTACGGACTTTCCCGGTGCATTAACCAGTTTGCAAGCCGGAGGTGTCCCTCTCCTGTGCTCCCAAAGCTGCCAAGTACCCTGTCATGCAGTTCAGAATCTCTTATTTCAGCAGATACCAGCCCTTGCTTCAAACACAGCAAGAACAAAAAGAAGAAGAAGAAAGAAGAAGAAGCAATAAGCTCTGTGCCCTACATGCGCTCAAAGCTAACCTCTTTCTTGTACTCCACGGATGTATCCCAACGCATGCACAGATAACCCTCAGAGCGGAGGCGCACTCAAAGCAGCAGAGAAGCCCCAGCTGCGGGGGCAGGTGCCATTTCCACATGCATAAGCCTTGCAGCCACACCCTTTGTGCCACCGCTCAAGATACTTGCCTTTCTTACCCTGCGTCCTCAGATACACTGAGGCTCTCGTGTCATCAGGCTCTGCAGCAGAACTGGGACAGGCATTTCTGCGTCTTGCCCGAGGTATAAGATTTGTGAGTGGAAGAGTGGCTGGAGCCTGGGACACATATACAAAGACCCAGAATGCATGCCTTCCGACCCGTTTTATTTCAATGAGCACCATACATGGAGGGCTCCGTGAAAGGGCTCCAGCAGAACGCACAGAGACCCCACCCGCCAGTGGATCCTGCCCCTCCCAAGCAACATGCTTGCTTCCCCCCAGGTGCCACCTGCCAGCTCCTGTTCCTTGCAGCCAGAAGGTCTCCTCCCGCCTCCCACACAGTTGTTCCCTCCACCGGCTGGGCTGGCAGGAGGCCTCTTCCCTGAGCAGTCCTGTCCTGAGCAACTGGCACCTGGACACCTGCAGGCTCCGGCCTGCAACATGCCAAGGGGTCAAGGTCCATTCATTCAGGGTGGGCGGAGTCCACGTCACTCCCACACTTCTGTCCATATGGCCCGGGTGCGGCGTGAGGGGGTTCTGGGAGGGTGTAGGACAAGCTCTCCTACCTGCTTGTTGGTGTATTTCTGAGGGTTGGTGCGGTAGCTGTAGTCTGAATACTGCTCCGAGCCTGTGGAATTGCTGTCCCCTGTGCCCACAAAAGTATTGGTGGCCGGCAGGTCCTGCACCACCTGGTGCTTCTTGGAGGCAGACGGCGACTGGGGCTGGAGCTGGATGGAAGGCAGGGGGGAGTTGGAGCGGTAGTGGCGGCCCAAGTCAGGGCTGCCAGGGGGGTAGTTAAGGGGCAGGTGGATGCGGGGGCTGTCGCTGACCGAGTCATTCATCAGGTTGAACTTGAGGGATTTCTGCAAGCCCGTTTCTTCCTCATCCTCGGCTGGTTTGGGCGGCTTGGGCGATTTGTTCTTTTTGACCTTGCTCTTGGCTTTGTTGCCTTTGTTGCCTTGCTTGGGAGCGTACAGGTCCTTGGTTTCCTTCTTGCCCGCCTGGTAGCCGCTCTTGGCCTCCTTCTGGCGGCAGTAGCGCACCAGCACAACCAGCACAATGACCAGAGTGACGGCTACTATGCCTGCAATGACCCCGAAGAGGATGTTGCTGCGCTGCTTGCTGCGCTCGTACTCAGGGTCGCCGGCGATGTCAATGTCGATAGGCGTGTCCAAGCTGTGTCCCACCAGAGTCTCCAGCAGCGTGCGGTTAGTCAGGGTCTCGTTGACGTAGAAATGGACCAGAGCGGTGCCGTGGCGAGACGGCTTGCCCTTGTCATTGACGCGCACCACCAGGCGGTGAAGCCCGTGGTGCTTGCGGAGGATCTCCTTCTCCAATGTGATGTTTCCGCTCTGGGGCGAAATCTTGAAGAGCTCAAAGGGGTTTCCACCCATGATGCTGTACTGCAGCTCAGCGTTGATCCCAGAGTCAATGTCTTCGGCTCCGACACTCATGACCTGCTGCCCAGGACTAGTGTGTGGCTGGATATGCTTGTAGGAAGCGTTGGATGGAGAAATGATGACAGGAGCGTTGTCGTTCTCGTCAAGCACATTGATGGTCACCCCAACATAGGCAGACCTGGGTGGGTCACCTGAATCCACAGCTTTCAGTCGGAAGGTGTAAGTGCTCTGCCGCTCGCGGTCAAAGGAAATGCTGGAGAGGATGGTGCCAGTACCATTCTGGATAACAAAGTCCCCGTTGTCCTGCTCTACTGAGAGCTGAATGAAGGCATTCTCCCCTTTGTCTGCATCGATTACTGTCACCATGCCCACAGGACTCAGAGGGGGCATGTTTTCCATGACGGAGAAGTTGTAGCCACTTAGCATGAACTTTGGGTCATTGTCGTTGCGGTCCATGACATTGATGGCAACAGAGGCCGTCCCCTTCCGGCTAGGGCTGCCTTTGTCCGCTGCGACCACCAAGAATTCATAGCGTTCTCGCTGCTCACGGTCCAGGACAGTCTTAACCCGGATTTCACCAGACTCTGGATCAATGGAGAATATGCCTTTGGATGAAGGCTCTGTCACTAGGGAGTACACCAGCTTAGCATTGGACCCACTGTCTGCATCAGTAGCACTCACTTCTACCACCAAGTCATCTGGGGAATTATTTTCTGGGAAAGATACCTCTGTTGAGCTCTGGCTGAAAACTGGGTCATTGTCATTAACATCCACCACCTGCACCTTGAGAGAGTTGGTGCTGGACAGAGGTGGATTGCCAGAATCCACAGCCACAATCTCAATGGTGTATTCTTTCACGGCCTCATAGTCTAGTGGCGTTGTGGTCTGGAGAAAATACTTCTTTTTGCTGTCACTTCCGGTGTCACTGGCTTGTCGCAACTGGAAAGGTACATCACCAGCCACCACACAGGTCACAACAGCATTCTCACCTTCATCCCGATCAGACACCTGTACCAGAGCCACAGGTGTCTCAACCGGCACATCTTCTGAGATATTAGCCATGCCATCTTGGTGGGTGACCAAGCCAATACCACGGATTTCAATGGATGGAGCGTTGTCATTCATATCCCTGACACTAATCACCACCTGGGCACGGGCAGTTTTGGGGTTGGCCCCTTTGTCCTTGGCCAACACAGAGAACTTGAGCACATTGATGTCTTCACGATCAACGGGACCCTGAACAGTGATAAGTCCAGTGGCTCTGTCCAGGCGCAGCAACCGGCGAACCACATCGGAAGCTTGGTGGAAGGAGTAGTCAATCTCAGCATTGGCACCCTGGTCAGAATCATTGGCCTTCACCTGCAATGAGAAAAAGAAGTGGTGAGCAGGTACCTTGATAAATTATGCCTGAGAAAACTGAGCTTGCTGACCTTAAGAATGTGCCCCAGCTATCCCTTGCACCAAGGAGATGACAGAACACTTCAGCCATCGCAAAGTGTTGCATCACATCGTGTGATGTCAACTGAATCAATTGCACCGACACCAAGAGCACTAGTTCACTACAGCTGCTTCTCACTGGGCAAGATGCAAGCCAAAGGGAGCCATCCCTGTCAAAATTCCAAAAGTTACCAATATTTTTCTTGGTGATTGCCAATAAAAGTTTCACACTGAAACTTTTATAGCACTGTTGTCTATAATAGCGGTGGGCAGAAAGTACATCAGGATCTACAATGGTGATTTGTAATAGGTTGGCAACTTTTTTTACTCTTAACTGTAGAACAATAGCAACAATGAAAAGGGTTGTTTTTCCCCAATCTGAATTTGATTGTCTAAATGAAAGACAGCGAGGGAAAACCATGAGTGCGTTCTTGTATGAATGGTGTTCCTAGACTGAAGATGTCCTCAGAGGTTCCCTCATCTTTAATCTTAGGTGTAAGTCTACCTCCAGGAATCACTATTTTTCACATAGCTCTGGGCTGTTCCACTTCTGGTTCTCACAAACAACCCTGCAAGCATGAGGCATGCCTGGTCTTGTCATAAAAGCATTAAAAGAGATGTTGTAGTGTGGACTCTACAGCTTTGGATCTGTTCGTATCCTCTCTCATCCATAAATAACAAGAAAAATTAAAGAGCTTTGCCCTACCTGCTTCAGCATCCTATTTCCATCAGTGGCCAGCCAGGTGCAAACTTTGCCCCCTTGAAACTAGCATTTAGAGATACACTGCCTTTGAACATGGAGGTTCCAGGTGCCTCTTCTAACTGATAAACCGGTCTTCCATGAACTTGTGCAATCCCCTTTTAAGCCACTGTGACGCAGTGGCCATCCACACCCTGCGATGGAGGAATTACAAAGAAGGCATTGTGTTCTTCCTTGTCTGTCTGGAATATACTAGCTGAGCTATAGGTTTTATTGGGTGGCCCTGCGTTCTAGTGTTCTGGGAAGCAGACAGAAATATATCTCCATATATTATCTGCACATGAGACATAATGTTATAAACCTCTGTCATGTCTCCTTTTCTCTAAAACAACAAGTTCTTTATTAAAAAACCCCAAACCCAAACATATAGGGAAGGTGCTACAATCCCTTGGTTGGCCTTTTGTACACATTTTCAAACTCTGTTATAAACATTTTCAAGATGGGGTGACCAGAACTCTACACAGTACCTCACCAGGCGATCTTGGTCCAGTCTTTTTCTCAACCTAACTCAATTGCACAGGGTTGTTGTGGGGAGGATAAAATGAGACAATGCCCACGTTTGAGAAATGGTGTGGTAAAATGCAACAAATGGTCTCCTTAATATGTAGCAGTAAGTCAGGGTTATTGAGAAGTGTGCTAATGAATGCTGCTGGATCACTCCCTACTTTGTTCCTTCTCTGGTGCAAGCAGCAGCAATAAACCATAAGGCCTTTGCCTGTCATTACAGCATTACAAATCTGGGGTTGTGGTTCTCCCTAACAAACCACAATCATTAGCCAACATGAAGTCATGGTTTGCTGTTGACTTGCTGATCATGGTTTGTTAGGGAGAAACAAACCGCAACCTTGGTAATGAAAAGCAAAGGCTTCATGGCTTCCTACTCCCACTTCCACCAAGGGAGGAGCAAAGCCAGAGTGATCTGGCCGTCCCCATCGTCATTAAACGTGGTTTATCACTACATGCAAATTGTCCCAATTAAATAACCACTATTACTACATCCTGCCATTCAAGTCCTCTGTTAGTCAAAGATGACACCCACAGTCCATACCTGATACACCCAAACACTGTCTTCTAAGTGCCCCAGCTGCACATACAACAATGCCCCAGCTAACTCCATAACCCACATCCCATGACTCCAGCAGAAGCTTGCTAGGCTCCTCAGTTCTTTCAGCTCTTGGCTAAAAGCCCAGGTCTTGCCTGAGACTGACAGGAGGCATTTCTCTTTCTGGTGGAACTGGCTTGGCTGGTCTAGCTGAGAGGCCACCTCTTCCACTCTGGTATGCAAAGAATTAACCAAGAAAACCAATCCAAAAACCACCCAGCAGGTCCCTGACGCTGAGCAATAGAAAGAAGTGGGGCTGTGCCAAAGGCTTTCTGCAGAGAAAGTCCTTACTGCATAAACCATTGAATGACTCCCTAGCTGAGAAGGGGCAAACCCAAGATCAATACTAGGGGAGCGAGTTCCATAGTTTAATTACATGCTGCGTGAAGAAGTGCTTTCTTTTATCTTTCCTAATCTTCCAACACTCAGTTCAAGTGTTATGAAAGAGGGACAAAAACCTTTCTCCATTTTCTCCATGCAATGCATAGTTTTATTAACTTCTGTCATACTACCTTCTCACTTGCTTGTTCTCTAAACTAAAGAGCTTGAAATCATGGGGCCTTTCCTCACAGGACAGGTGTTCCACACCTGTGATCATTTTGGCTGCCCTTTCCTGAATGTTTCTCAACTCTTCAATTTCCTTTTTGAGGTGAGGCAACCATAGATCTGTATGTGCCTCTTGGGTTGTGGGAAACCACACTTTCCTTTTGCATTCATTAGAGTGGGGTGTCAGCTCCAAAAATCAGGACTCAGAGGTGTCAGCAAAACCTAGAGGAAACAGTGAGTCTCACAAATGGCAGGTGCATGGTGGGCATCAACAATGCCTCATTGTGATGACTTGCTCCTGCAGTGGGACTGTCCCAAGGGTACATCTTTGCCCGATCAGTTACTCGTTAAAATACGAGATAACTAATCTGACCTGGTGCTATCGAGCATCTTTTGAATAGGCAGGTATAAGATTGCACCACTCAGTAGACAACAAAGGGGGCTGTGAAGTAGCAGCATAACAACAACAACACCACAGCCCTACTGACAAGACAACATGTCTCTCTGCTGTCGTCAGAAAATGGATATTCAGCAATTGGCTTTAATTATAAACATGGAGAAGATATAAACTAGCCAAGCAGGGCCACAGCAAGAGCAACAACAACAAAAAATGCAAGCAAGAAAAATGGTGAATTGCAAAGACCCACCCCTTCCTCTTCTTGCTGCACACAGTTCCATATATGCCCAATCTCTTATATTGTGTCTGAAGGAGAAAGTTTACCTGCAGTAACTTAAGCCACTTCAGGTGTTACATCTAGACAAAAAGAGATTTATTTTACAAAATACCTAACAGAATGATTGAAAGAGCTTTTGCGAAAATGCATATGGCACACTGTGAACACATGAAAAGCACTTTATAACCACGGATTTCACAGTTTAATATAATAGTTTACAATTTAATGGGAATAATTCAAAAGGGAGGGGAGCCAATCCAGACACATTGTATGAGATTGTTCTGGAAGGGAAGGTGGAGAAACCAGATGGCGATTGGCTCCAGCCAAGCCAATGGCGCCTCATAGGCTCCCCTCCCTCCTGCCAGGTAACCAGATAGAAGCACTTTATGAAGCAACAGGAGCTGCAGTAACAGAGGTTGCCAGTCACCTTGGCCACAGATTACTCATTTCTCAAAGCTGTGCCCTATTCCAAGAAATCACCCCCATACTCATTGTTTGCTTTTTTAAAAGGTCTGCCTAATGTTTGCTTTTCTCTTACAACCAGTCATTTCTGTTCTTGTTTGCTCCTCTTGCTTATCATTTTGCTGTACTGGATGGATGGAGGGCCCTGATGTTAAATGTCAATTCCAGGTATCACCTTCACACGCAAGGTGGAAGGTGGTACCCCCGCCCCTTCTCCTAAAAAAGCAGGAATCAAATGCTCACACCCTCAGCTTGGGCTGCTGCTTCATAAACCGGTGATACCCCAACAGAAGAGTGAAAAATTAGAATTTAAAACCCACAGTAAAATTATCTAACCCCAAATCCTAGGAATCCCTTTCAGTGCCTGAGCACCACCAATTTCACCTATGCTAGGAGGAAAGGTTCTGACCTAAGTCATCTCCTGCATATATATGTGTGCGTGTGTGTGTATACATACATCAGCATTATCCTGATCCAACAAGGTTGTAATTCTCTCTCTCTCTCTCTCTCTCTCTCTCTCTGTGTGTGTATGTATATTACTATTATGATAATCTTTATTGTCATTGTCCCATACAGAACAATGAAATTGAAAAAATCTATAAGAGCATAAATCAAACATCAGATGTGCCATCTCCATTCTGAAGTGATGAGGTCTCAGCCAGGGTTGGGCCAGCACTGAAGATGGTGTGTCCCACACACACCTGTGTTTTTTCTACCCTTCCCACCCAAGCTGGCTTTCATTCCCCCATGAAAATCCTTGCTAAGCCACTTCTGTGTTCCCCACGCCCTCTTCCCGCTCTCCACATTGTCAAACAGCAGTGAAATTTAGCTGGGAAAAGCAGCGGCATATCTGCACGGCCTCTGAAAACGCCAGTCATTCTAAACCTTGAGTCACACAACCTTGCCCTGCTTTTCAAACAGGAAATACATTCATCAGTCCCACCTGAGAGCCGTTTAGTTCCCCCCTTTTCCCCCCCGGAAGGAGGGGCTCACCTGCAGCACGGAGTGACCAATGGGGCTGTTCTCCGAGAGTTCGGCCTCGTAGAGGGGCTTCTCAAACTTGGGCGCATTGTCATTCATGTCCAGGATGGTGATGCGCAGCAAGGCACTGCTAGCACGTGGTGGGTTGCCCCCGTCCTGTACTTTGATAGTCAGGTCATAGGACTCCGATTGCTCCCGGTCCAGGCTTCCCATGACGATCAGCTGTGGCTGTTTCTCCTCTTGGTCCTCTGCTACCTGCAAGCCAAAAAGCTTTTGGGCATCTGAACCAGGCATGAGCTCATAGGAAGCCACACCGTTGGCGCCAGCATCACGGTCCATGGCCAGCGGAATGGGGAAGAGTGTCCCAATATTGGTGTTTTCAGGAATGGCTAATGTGATAACGGGAGAGGCAAAGTTGGGCGTGTTGTCATTGATGTCCAGCACCTCAATCTGCCCTTCCAGCAGGCGTGGGCTATTGTTCATCAGGTCCGTGATGGAAACCTCAAACTCCAGGAAGCACGGGTCCCCTGGAAACAGCTGCTGGCATTCTCGCAGGCTCTCTCGGTCAATGGAGGTCTCTGTAGTGTAGATGTCACCAGTCTTACCATCCACACGCAGGTAGGGGGCACCTACCTCCAGCTTATACAAGTGCCCCACATCTGGGAAGCCATAGTCTGCTGCCAGGCTGCCAATGAGTGTGTTGGGTGGCTGCTCCTCCTGTACCTTGTAGACGACACGTGTCCCGGAGCTCAGGCAGGGGAGCTGGAAGAAGAGCCACAAGCCCAGGCAGGAGATCAGTTGCTGCATCCTGAACGGTGGCAGAGCTGGAAGAAAGGAGGGAGAGAGCAGGCATTAGTACACTCCAAGAAGTCTTCGCCGAATATTCACAGGAGGCAGCATGTTAGCTGCTGAAGGCTATGTACACAGTCCTCTGTGGAGCAGGCAAACACTTGTATGGGCCTTGCCGCCTCCTGGAAACAGGTGAAGAGTGCCCAGCCTTGGAGGTGCTGACGTCAATCATCCCAACCCCGAAACCAGACTAGCCACGCCTGCCCGACCCTGTAGGAAGCTGCACCTCCCACTGCTCTGCTCCTTAGTCACCACAGGAAGACTCGTAATCGCTGCCAGGGATGCAGAAAGGCGGGGGGGGGCAGCTACAATGTCCCCATGGACTCCTGGTGGGCAGACAGCGCCATCCCAGAGAGACAAAGAGCCATAAAGGCAGACTATGCCACGTACCAAGTCTATGGCGTGAGCTTTCCTTCACATAAATGTCTGTGTGCATATCATAGCTGTCAACTTTTCCCTTTTCTTGCGAGGAATCCTATTTGGAATAAGGGAATTTCCCTTAAAAAAAGGGGAAACGTTGACAGCTATGCTGCATATACCTAACACGAGAATGAGGAAAGCACAGCTGCTCTTTAAGAACACACCCAAACACCAGTATTATGCTCGCTCTCTCTCTCTCTCTCTCTCTCTCTTCACACACACACACACACACACACACACAACCCTATACACCCTACACAACGGCAACAGTCTCTTATGCTATCCAAACTGCACAAGTCAGACCATGAAGCAGGTTTTGCCAACACTGCCATAGGAATGATTTTTTTTTTTTAAAGGCCAGCATTGCACACAAAGGGGAAGGTGGCATTATCAACACAGGCCGGCAGGCACACTGGTCTGGGGGGCAATGGTATAGCATCAGTCTGGGCAGGGCAGGCTGCCAGCCCAGTGAAAGTTGTGGGGCTCCCCTCAGCCCCAGCCAAAATTGCCAACAGTCACTCACGGACTAGGGGGCCGCAGGCACCCCGCCCGTGAGCTATGGCACTTCATGCAGAAACACCCGGACGTGTTTTAGGGAGTCTCCTCTAAATCTCTGTGCTGTTCAGGCATAACTTTTTTTTTCTGCCAGCCAGCAATTAGATCTCATTAATTCCTACATGAGGAGTGGCAACAGGGCTTCTTTTTTCGGGGGAAGAAATAAATGAAAATGGTTGTGAGGCTGGCTGTTCTGCTAACAGTTACAAGGGACCATCCGATATCCCATTTTTTAATTTTACATTTCCACTCACTCCATCCCAGAAAAATCAAACAGTTAAAATAGCTAAATACTACTCTTATGCAAGACCTATTTATTTATTTATTTATTTATTTATTCATTTATTCATTCATTCATTCATTCATTCATACATACCAAATGGAAATGGCTATTACCCCTCCCCTCCCGTTTCCCCCATTATGGGACATGATAACTAAGGGCTGGCAATGTTTGTTCTCATGATCTTTGAGTGATTTTTTTGATTTTTTAAGTGTGTGCACACAGGTATACAAAATAAGCACAGCCTGGATACATTAGGCCAAACTCTGGTGTGGATTCCAAATGATGGAAGTGTAATAAAATGGGAATTAAGCGGGTTTTTATTTTATTTTAAAAAAAGAATGTCATAGAGGAATGGACTGGGAAGTCCTAAGAGAATTGACTTGTAATGGAAAATATGTTATGTATATATACAAAAATCTGGGAAATGCATAAATGAATGAGGGAATGAAGCTAATGTGAACACATAAGAACTGCATTTGAATGACCTGCAAGTGACCCACAGCCACTGTCCAAAGGCACCCAGAGTATAAGCAGAACTGGGGCAGAGGTCTGACTGAAGGCACCTGTTCCTACCTCATAGGTTCTGCAAACAACACTTTGGAAGAGATAATCACAACTTAATTCTTGTGCCATACCAAGCAGAGACCCACTATTCCAAGTTCTCTTTCTAGGAGACACCACCTGTCCTTTTCTTCCCCAAGAAGTCAACTGCTAACAGGAGGGAAGATTCACTTTATCACTGTTGCACACACACGCTACAATAAGGGGGAAGAACATCTGGAGACGGATGTAAATAAACTGACTTGCAATCCCTGATGTAAATGGTTAATAATTATATACACAGCACAAGTCTATCCAAGTCTACTCAGAAGTAACACCCATTGAGTTCAATTGGGTTCACTCCCAGGTAACTGCATCCAGGACTGCAGCCTTAGCATTTAAATAGCATTTTGGAGCATTAAAATGAAGGCAGTGCAAATTGTTGTGCCCCCACTTGATTCAGTTATTGCCCCGACCCAACCACTGAATCTGAACTGCAATTCAGAAAACCACCACCAATCCTTGGAAACCCCACTGACTTGCCTTATCTGATAGGCAGATATGCACAGAAAAATAACATGGGAGACTTCTTACTCAAATCCCTGTCTTATACGAGGCAGATTGTTGTCAGCAGCAGTGGTGATGGGAAAGAAAGAATTAACGGAGTCGCTTTTTCAACGTGAGAGGGACCCTGTCACATATGGGGCAAAATGTTGCCAGCAGCAGTAAAATGAGAGAGAGAAAATAGGAATGTGTATTTTGATTCCAGGCCCTAAAATCTAGGAGGCAGTAACAGCACCAGCAATCATACTGGGATGAACACAGTGGACACAGTGGACTAGACGAGGCAAATATGGGGTTGCTGCAACCAGCCTACCTGCCTAGCAGTCTTGGTTGGCACACCAATCTCCCCGGCCCTAGGGAAGGAAGAGGGGGCTGGTAGCGAGAGAGGGAGAGAGCAGCAGGCAGCTGGCACCACAGAGGGAGACCAAGGAAGAAGGCTGACATGGGGCAGCAGAGATGAAAAAACCACAGCACAAGGGATCCTCATGGCCCTGCAAGACAGGGGGCTGGGGGCAGAGTGGTGCCAGCAGTCTCCTGGTCAACACTCAGCATGACTGTGAGAAAGGAGGACCCATGAGGAACTGCAGCACGTAAAATCCAAGGAAGTACCTGGAAGCGGAACACTAAACACAGGGCTGTCTTAAGCATATCCGGCGCCGTGGTGCAAAGATCCCTCTGGCGCTCCCCCGGCAACACCAAAACAAGGGAGGGGGCGGTGGAAAATGTCCTCTGCCTCCCCCACCGCCCTGATCCCCAGCATGGTGGCGGCGATCAAGCAGGAAAACGTGCTGGTGGATATGCTCTCCGGTGTTGGGGCACCCGAGAAGGCAGCCCGGGAAGGCTGCGCACCGCCTTTCTCCAGGAAGCAGGAGAAGGACAACGACCAGGAGCAGGGCCGTCTTTACAGATGCAGAGGCTTGGGAGGGAAGCTGCACGCCCGCCAGCCATATAGCTGGCGGGGCGCAGCTGGGGGCGTGCAGGGAAAGGGGAGGCTGCCGGCAAAGCCACGCAGCTCCCCCACTCGCTGGGGCGCCCCTGAGAGGCCAGCGCCCTGGCGCAACACACCACTAAGACCAATGGGAAAGACGGCTCTGACTAAACAACAGGACTCTATGTCAGGGTGGCCCCAGACATACAAGGTGCAGGAAGGTTGTCCAGCTTAGCCTGGGGTGGGGTGGGAGTGGGAGGCCGTCAGCCAGGCAGTTGAAGTTTCCAATGCCAAATGCACTGGACAACTGAGGCAGACCACTGGAAGCAGGCAGGCGGCAGGAGCCCAAGTGGCAGGCTCTGAATCAGATCCGATGAGGCATGAACAGCCACAGCAAACGGCCCAGGGAAATTGGAAAAAAAACACCACCACGCAGTGCACGCACAGAGAGTGCTGAGATTTTGGGCAAGTGAGGGCTAGCACAGTGGCAGGTACTCGCCCCTGGCAGACAAGCGGGTGGGTCTGGGTGGCCAGCAGGAAGAGAACAGGCGGCAGAGAAGGAGGTGACTCAGGCAGCAATGCAGGTAGGCAAGGAGGGAGGGGGAGGTTAGGCAAATAGCAGCCTTGGAGATGGAGATGTTTGCGGGGGTGGGGGCAGCCGGACAGGCATCCGGCACAGCTGGCTCTGCAGGCTGATTTCTCCAATCCTGGAGACCGGAGGCAGGCAGCTGTGGTTGCCAACTTAGTCTGGCAGCAGAGGCATGCAGCTGGGGCAGAGAGGTGTGAGGCTGTAGAGCCACGAAGCAGTTGAGAAGAAATGATGGTGGGGCTGTCTGCTGGGGGTGGCACCCCCCACTGTTGCAGGGTGAGGGAGTCCTTTACCTCCAGGGCTTGTGATGGGTGGGCTATTCAAAAGTCTTTTGACTCTGTCCTTTAAGAAGAAGACCCATTGGAAGGGGGTGGTTGTGGGGCACACTGACTTCCTTGAGCCCAGGGGAAGAGATAGCAAGGGAGTAGGAAGTCTGTGAGGCAGCTGGCCATAGCAGAAATAGAAGGCACATCACAATGATACCCAACATGGGAACAGCTAGGTCTCTGCCTCTGCAGGCCAAGCATTTTTTCCTGACCCCAGAGGTCCCTGAGACAGGCATGAAATGATAAAACTGCCCAAGAAAGCAACATTCCAAAGTACACTAGCCCTGAACGTGGAGGCTGCATTAAGCTACCAAAGCTAATAGCCCAATGTATCAGCTCCCCTGTAGCACCCGGTCAGGGATGCCCAAGAGGCGCAGGGATGGTGGTGGCTCCAAGGCTGACTTTGGTGCTTAAAGCCCAAATGGGCTAGGACCAAAATCTGCAAGGAGCAGACCCCCTTCTTCCATACTGACCTGCCTGCGCTTTAAACACAGGGCCCACATGCGGAACACCCTCCCCACTGAGGGACTGTTGCCCCCAACTCTTTCTGGTCTTAGGTGACTGGTACAGCCTAGACAGGCAGCATTGGATCTGGACCGCTACTGGGGCAACTTACACAGGAGCAGCTAAGATGTTGCTTTGGCAGTAAGGGGCTGTTTAGGTAACTTAGGTAGGCAGCCCGCCCCCAACAGGAGCAGGAGGATGAACTAGCCTGACTGGGAGAGAACCGGTCTGGCCAGTGGTGCTTCTGCTGCTGCCAGCACCTCTGCCGCTTGTGCCTCTGTTGGCACCACGGTACTGCCAGGCAGGTGCCTTGATTTATTATCATTTCATTCTGTGCTATGTTCAATGTGTGATGCTGCGATGTGCTTGCTCGTACAATGGTAGATGCACACATGCAAGATTTACCCAATACACATAACATACACAAGGCAAAGCTACAGTTAAGGTCGAAAACACGCAGACAACGAACAGCCATTTTGCTTTTAAAACTACTACAAGGAAGGATGGGAAATGATGAATTAGGGAAGGACTGGAGAAGCTGCAAGGCTGGGTACTGGGCAAGAAGGGTAAGGGAGACTGGGTGGAAAAAGGCAGGGTCGTAAAGCAGCACTAACGGAAAGACAAGCTGTGGGAAGAACTGCTAAGAGACATGTACAACCCAGGAGAAAACATCTGTGCCCATGAAAACAGGTTCAGAATCGAAAACTAAGATAAGACTCAGACAACAATTATTATTTTAAAATAAGGAGGATGGGACTGAGAATGGGAAGGCTGGGAGCAAGCAAACACAGATTTAAGGCCGGGAGGGACTAAAGGAAAACAAGACAAGCTGAATAATGGAACAAACCCACCAAACAAACTCTGCCCACCAGCTCTTTCAAATGTTCTGTCTCCCTCTCTCTCTGAATTGACAAAAGAGTTAAGCCAGAGGGGGAAAGCTCATGCTTTGGAGACTTGGCCATCGCTCCTCACAGGCACTGTGTTTGGAAGCAAGAGGACCGTTTCAATAAGCAAAGCCCCCCTCCCTCTCCAAACATCTTCGCCCTGGATGTACAGGTACTAGCTGTCAATAAACAAAGTCCAGAACCCTTCTACCCCCCCCATCTCCACACCATGGCATTTTCCTTTTATGGTGCCTGCTTGACCTTACATTTCAGTTTTGGAAACATTTTGGCACCAGAAGCGGTTCAGTCATGCTGGTCACATGACCTGGAAAGCTGTCTGTGGACAAACGCTGGCTCCCTTGGCCTGAAACGAGGTGAGCGCCGCAACCCCAGAGTCGCCTTGGACTGGAACTAACCCTCCAGGGGTCCTTTACCATGCCTTTTTAGTGCTCCCCTCCCACAATGCCCCCCAGGTGTCGTTTCTTGCTGGCGAATACCCACTTGAGGACTGAGAATGTGGTCTAGTTTTTGTGAATGAAAAGGGAACAATAAGACAAGCCCTCCCCTTCAGAGCCCACCCACCCTACCATTGGGCAAGGTGAGGCAGGTGTTGAAGACAGTCACCCTTCAGCCATTCCCTTCTGTTGGAGGAGAGAGCTGTAGATCTTTCACAGCGTGTATTGCTCCACGCCCCATACCTGATGCCTCTGTCCTATCATTAGTGTTGAATTAAGATTCAGATACCAGTCCAATCAGCTGCTGTACGTGGGAGGCAGAAAAGGGTCCATTTTGTCATTTGCCTCAGGCAGAGAAATGTCTTTGGTCAGTTCTACTTTCCTTCTGTTGGTATGGACCAGGGGTGGGGGACCGAGGGCCAAATGTAGCCCTCCAATCCTGTCTATCCTTGCCCTTGGGACTCTCCCCAAGCCACAATCCATATGGTCATCTTCTGGGCGCTCCTTGAGAGCTTTCAACTGCCTGGAATGTGTCCTTGAACTATGGTAATGCTTCTTGGAAGCCGAAATGGAAGATGAAGAGATGCAGACAGAATAGTCACCCACAAGCCATAAGCTTAGTTTGCTTGAGGCTTTGACCGGAGTACCATTTTGGAAATTCTCAGCCTCACAATAGTTTTTGATCATGGTGCCCTTTTGGAACAACTCAAAGGACTGGAAGTCAGAGGCTCTGCACAGTGGTTCAATGCCTACCTATGTGGTAGGAATCATCACCAGAAAGTACTACTACTACTAATTTTATTTAGACCCTGCCCATGCAACTACACAAGAATAAGGCTGCTAGGTTGGTCATTGGAGCAGCCCAAATGGACCGTATCTTGCCAGCTGCAAAAGCTCTGCCCTGGCTGCCAGTGGGCTATTGAGCCCAATTCAGAGTGTTAGCACTAGCACAGAAAGCCCTACACGGCTTGGGACTCAAGTCCTTGATGGAGTAGCTCTCCTGCATCTCCTCCATCTTGGGACTCTATGATCAGCAGTGGAGTTTTTAACTGCTTTAAATATGTTTTTATCTTATCTTCAATTGTGTCACTTTAACACTTCAATGTTTGCCATCTTGGGCTCCCCTTTGGAAGGAAGAGTGGCACAGAAGTGTAATGAACTAATTTTTTGGGCAGTGCAGCCTTTGCCATCCTGGTACCCGCCAGTTGTTTTTGACTATGACTCCCATCAGGCCCAGCTGGCATGGTCATGATGGCTGAAGCCCATGGGAGTTGTAGTCCAACACATCTGAAGGTCTGCAGATTAGGGGAGGCTGTGGTACTTTGGGGAAGCAGAGAGGTGTTTGTGATGGAAGGATCTAGAGGAAGGTCTGATGGCCTGCCCTTAGGTAGATCAAACCTATGCAGCAAAATTGAAAGGGAACCATCCTTCCCTGATTTTTAGAGCATTATAGCTGGAGTCACCCATGCTTCTGAGGAGAAATAACATGAATGGAGACAGAGTTGACTCCACCCCCAGTTATCAAGGTTACATTTGCCAAACTAAAATGCATCCAATTCTAAACATTTCCATTATTTCCAGAATGTATAGGCCCAATGGAGCCCCAATGTTCAGAAGAAGAACATTTACTTGACTTTGCAAAATATTTGAAATTTTAAAAGGGTACTTTGGGGCTCCAAATTAGGATTTCTAAGTCAGTATGTACATTTCATGTATGTTAAGGGTGAGCAAAATATTATATACTAACTAGATTCCTCCCCCCCCCCCCCCCGGAATAGTATGTCTATGTATTTTGTGGTATTGAGATTATAGAAGGTTTAGTGTCTGAAATATGCATTTAATGTGTATTTTTAAACAAATTTATGGCAATTAAATATTTGGAGGAAAGGGTATCACATTTCAATTTGTAAAGATCTTTTTAAGTACTGTGTCATTAAAATGCTTTGTACAATGCAAAACTGTAACTGGAGAAACTAAGTTTAATAAATATCAAATAGATTTTCTGGATTAAACTTTTAAAAGAAGAGGAGGAGGAGGAAGGAGTGTAGCAACTAGCAAGTGTGCACATGGCCCTCTCGTGGACTGAGGCATTTTTAAATAAAGATGGGATTCCCCCCCACACACACTTTTGTTAAATATAGTATTTTCTCAGGTACATTGGCTATATTAAGAGGAGGCCAGTTTGTTTTGAACGATACCGTTCTGTGTGAGGATTGCAGACTCTAGACATGCGCCAGTGCACAGCGGGTGGCAGACATCACTCCTTCAAGAACAGGAGAATCCCACCAGGCCCCCTCCTTCCCCCAACTGTTTGCAAAGGAAAGGTGAATCATTGCTGCAAGCATCTTTCTCTGCAGGTGATCGGGCGGGGCGGGTGGGCTGAATAACAATCTACATGATCCCCAGCAGAAAATGAGGCTTCCAGCATCTTAACTTTGCAAACAGCTGGGCGGCGGGGTGTGTGTGTGTGTGGAGAAGACTGGCAAGGTTTTTCCCTTTTCCAAGGAAGCTGTCATATTCCTGGCTCCCAGAGTGTGTGTTCTCTGATCCTTGGGTAATGAGACAGTAGGCAGTGGAAGGCACAGCTTGGAAAAAGTTCAGCGGTAATTAAGTTCTTGCAACATCCCAGATGTGGTCACCCTGATAGGGTGTGGGAAAAACTGTGTGGCACAGCCCTTGTGCCACTTTCCAGAGGTAGTTGCGTGGGATGACTAATTCATCTGAGTGCAGTGCTCCTTAAAACAGCTCGTCATGGACAAAATACTTTTGACGCAATATTGACAGAAGTACGACCTACCCAGTTAAGACAGGAGATATTAGCTTCTTATCAGATACTGATAACTCGCAACTTATGCACATTTAACTTGTCTGCATTGAGCTTTACACATTTGGCAATTAAAGAAAAATTAAAAAGGAAGGCCACCTGCCATTGCACCCACTGTGTTTTGACTATATGCAATTTTGGCTTTATGTGCCGTCCCAGAAATGTAAACTATCGTACGTTGAAAATCACCTGTATACCCTTTTTGCACAACAAGTTTCACTCAAAGATAAATCAGGAAGTTTTTAATGTCTGGCATTTTATTATATTTGTATATGTGCTAGAAGCTGCCCAGAGTGACTGGGGTATAAGTAATAAAATTATTGTTATCCTTATTGTTATTGTTGCTTTGCTACCTAAGCAAGCAGTTGGCTGTTCTACATTTAGGAAGTCAGCACTTCTGACACAGACTGATCCCTTGTAGTGGTTGCTCAGTAATGGAAGCCACAGGTACAGTAACTTCCAAAACCAGCTGCATATAAAGTGAGTACTTGTCACCCAACACTCGCCACTGGTCTGACCTGGTAGGCCAGCTCTTAGTGTTTATCATTATAATGCTAAGGGCTGATATACCAGGGGAGGCCAGGGTTCTGTCTTGTCCTGTATTCTCTGCAGTAGCCAGGGTTGTGGGTTAGGTGTGCATTTATGCACACATTTCTAAAATATGCTGCTTTGCCAAAGACCTAGTTGCAATGAAGAATACTAAAAATAAAATTTGCATATTACTAAACTTTAATATGGGACGCGGGTGGCGCTGTGGGTAAAACCTCAGTGCCTAGGACTTGCCGATCGTATGGTCGGCGGTTCAAATCCCCGTGGCGGGGTGAGCTCCCGTCGTTCGGTCCCAGCTCCTGCCCACCTTAGCAGTTCGAAAGCACTCTTAAGTGCAAGTAGATAAATAGGGACCGCTTTATAGTGGGAAGGTAAACGGCGTTTCCGTGTGCTGCGCTGGTGCTGGCTCGCCAGATGCAGCTTGTCACGCTGGCCACATGACCCGGAAGTGTCTTCGGACGGCGCCGGCTCACGGCCTCTAGAGCGAGATGAGCACGCAACCCCAGAGTCGGACACGACTGGCCCGTACGGGCAGGGGTACCTTTACCTTTACCTTTAAACTTTAATATAAGTGCTTTTAAAAAAAGAAAATAGGAAGTTGTAAGATAACAAAAATAAGAAGGATATCTGTTCTTTTCCTTTCCATTATATTAATTCTCCAGAACCAACACAGGGTATGACACATAATATACAGACAACCAAGATGAAAATTATTTCTCAACTATTATAGTTGGCCCTCCATTGGTTAATCAGTAGATTAATCAAGTGAAATTGTAGCTGACACGTGTGCAACTCTAATATTGCTAAATGTTTGCAAAATCCTGTTTTTGCTCAAAAGTAATTCTTATTGTGTTAATCAGGATTTAGTCCTTAAAGGGTGTTTAAACTGGTTAAACCAATAAATTAAAAGCCTTTCCATCAATTAAAAAAGTGCCTGCATTACACATTTGCAACTTTTTAATAGAAATACTTACTCCACTCACAAGTACAACATGCACCTGTGCCCACAAACAACTGCACCGCTACATAAAATACTTCCAGAAGCGAAATGGATTGTGATACATCCTTTGTTTTCCAGGGAGCAAGGCACAGCTGCCATTTATCCCAATCACCGACATCCTATTTAGACTTGTGTCCTCCACACCCACTTCCATGGCCTCAAAACAAAGTACATTCCTTTCTCAGAAAGGATCTTCAAACGCTATCTTGCTTACATTCAAACAAAGTCATTACCCAACTTCAGCTCAGCCTACCCAATAACATGCCAAAGTGCAACCCAAACTCACTTCCTCCAAACAGTGTGCAGCGCATTGAAGTCACAACATACCATCTGCCTACCATCCTGTTTACCAGTCTCACTGACCCAGACTTCCTCCCACTCATCATTCCTCCTCCTCCTCCTCTAAATAACTCCACTAGCCATACATGATACGACACCAACTTCCCAGGCAATTATCGCAAAATAGAAAACAGGCAGTTATAATCCTTGTCATAGCAAACCTCGTGTCAAATTAAACAGAGCCTGCCCTAACATATGTGAGAATTTTTTCGGGGTGGGAATTACCCCCTCCCCCAGCATTTCCTTAAAAACCAAAACCACACAACAGCTGACTGGATAACAACACAATGCTAGCCAATATTATGGATGGGGCAGGTACCACTAGGATGGGAGCAATGGAACACCCAATCTCAGTGACCCTGGTCAGCAGCAGGAGCGGCACTAGGACCAGAACATGGCATTACCAAGGAGGCAGGTTTAGTCACTATCTGAAGGCTATCCCAGAAGGATGCAGGTGTCAACAAGGGTGTCCCACATGACTTGAAGGTGCTGCTCTGCAGCGCCAGGTCAATGACCAAGAAAACCAGTGCCATCCATGACTTGATCATGGCTGGGGGAACTGACCACATGTAACAGAGACTTGGTTGGATGAAGCAGATGGGCCTGTTCTTGCTGCTGCTTGTCTACCATGTTTCTCTTACACACAGCAGCCCAGGTCATGTGGGTAGGGAGAGGTGAATGCAGTGGTTTTTAGGAAGCCTTCAGTTTTCATCAGGTGTCCCATTAAGGAGACCCAGTTCTCTGAGTGCATGTTCTAGAACAGTGTTAGAAATTAGCCAAGTGCTGGGCACATTTTACAACTGGCAGGTCCAACAGTGACCATGTGGAGATCTCTGGATGCCAGGTTGGTGAATGGGAAGAGCAAAATGTCTCTCAGATAAGGATCTGAAATAGTTTCCTTGGAGCTTGAATTTGTTTTATTCTGGATTGTTTTATTTGAGGTTTTAATGTGCTGTAAACCACTTTGAGATTTGTTCTTTAAAATATAAAATGCTATAGAAATGAAACTAACAACAGCAACAAATTCCAGTTGTGGTGGGGAAATGCCACCTAGACATTCCACTGTGGCGACTAACTTAGGTTTAAGGTGCCATTTGGCAATTAGATTATATATCTAATTACATATCTAGATTTCCTGCCCACCTAGCAGTTTGAAATCACATCAAAGTGCAAGTAGATAAATAGGTACCACTCCGGCGGGAAGGTAAACGGCATTTCCATGAGCTGCTCTGGTTTGCCAGAAGCGGCTTGGTCATGCTGGCCACATGACCCGGAAAAACTGTCTGTGGACAAATGCTGGCTCCCTTGCCTATAGAGCGAGATAAGCGCGCAACCCCAAAGTCGTTCACGACTGGACCTAATGGTCAGGGGTACCTTTACCCGTATATATCTGGATTGTATAACACTAGTTCTGGAATTTGGGCAATAGAGGCAGTACAGGATTCCTAATGGTGTACCAACCTCCCTGCGGCACCAAAGATCCCCTGCCTGTTGTTCTGGAGACATTTAACCTGGTGGTCCTGGGGCAATGGTTTTCAACCAGTGTGCTCTGGCACCCTGGGGTGCCTTGAATGATGGTCAGGGGTGCTGCGACCTTGCACACCTGTTTATTGCAGCAGCCCTGGCTATAAGCTCGGCAGGCGAATGATGCCTCTGGGGCAGGGCGGGGGAGCAGCTCAGAGACCAGGTATGGCAGCAGCAGCTACGCGGAGGACTCCCAAGGAGAAGAGGAGAGGAGGATGAGGGGAGGTGTTTTAAAAAGGGTGAGAGGCGATCAGCTCTGCAGGCAAGGGGTGACATAACTGCGCTCCTTGGGCCCCATAGGGGTGCCACAGAAAGAATGTAGCTGGTCAAGGGAGCCATGGACTCAAAAAGTTTGGAAACCTCTGTCCTAGGGGATTTTAACCTCCATGCCAACTTGGCCATACAAGGGGCTGCTTGAGACATTGTGGAAAGCATGGCCTCCATGGGTCTGTCCTTGCATAAATCTGACCCTACTCAATAGTCATGGACACGCCGTAGATTTGACATTTTCCTCTGTGGAAGTGGGTGATCTAACACTAAGTTCCAGTAGAACAAAAGAAGTGCCATGGTCAGATCACTTCCTGCTGCAACTAGACTTTTCTGTGACCCTTCCTTTCCACAGGGAGGGGCGACAGATTTGAATGGCCCACCCCCGCCACTTAATGGATCCAAATGGCTTCCAGAAAGTGGTAGGGAATGAATTTTCCCAGGTTGATGGCCTCTCAGCTGATTCCCTGGTGGCCTGATGGAATGCAGAGTTAAACAGGGCTATCAACTGTCTGGCTCCAAAGTGCCCTCTCAATTGCATGGACCCCAGATGGCCTCAAGGTTTTCCCCAGGGCTGAGTCATGACTGAGAAGGCTAGAATGCTGGTAGCGAAAAACTCATTTCATATCGGACCAAACACGGGTGAGAGCTCAATGGGTGAGAGCCTACCTAGTGGCGATAGCAAAGAAAATTTATTCGCCACCTCTATTGCATCCACAGAAAACAGTTCCAGGAGACTCTTTCAGGTGTTTCAAAGTTTAACAGAACCACCTTCACTATTGGGGTCTAATAAGGACTCCAAGATCTCCTGTAAAGGTTTTACTCAGATGGCGTTCAACAGATTGAGGTTAAATCCTGACAAGACAGAAGTACTGTTTCTGGGGGACACGGGGAGGGCAGGTGTGGGGGAGCCCCTGGTCCTCAAGAGGGTAACTGTGCCCCTAAAGTAGGGTTGCCATATTTTGATGAGCAGAAAAGAGGACACATTTGCTGACCTCTACTTTTAACTATGGATCGCTATGACGACTCTACCCATGAAAAAGAGGCCATGTCTTGGAAAAAGAGGACATATGGCAACCCTACCCTGAAGGACCAGGTGAATAGCCTTGGTGTCATTTTGGACTCCTAGCTGTCCATGGAGGCACAGGTTAATTCTGAGTCCAGGGCAGCTGTCTATCAGCTCCATCTGGTACGCCAGCTGAGACCCTACCTGCCTGCGCACTGTTTCACTAGAGGGGTACCTGCTCTGGTTATCTCCCGCTTGGACTACTACAATGCGCTCTACGTGGGGCTACCTTTGAAGGTGACTTGGAAATTACAACCAATCCAGAATGCGGCAGCTAGACTAGTGACTGGGAGTGGCTGCCAGGACCATATAACACTGGTCCTGAGAGACCTGCATTGGCTCCCAGCACATTTCCGAGCATAATTCAAAGTGTTGGTGCTGACCTTTAAAGCCCTAAACGGTCTCGGCCAAGTATACCTGAAGGAATGTCTCCACACCCATCATCCAGCCTGGACACCGAGATCCAGCTCTGAGGGCCTCCAGGTAGTTTCCTCACTGCAAGAAGTGAAGATACAGGGAACCAGGCAGAGGGCCTTCTCGGTGGTGGTGCCCACCCTTTGGAATGTGCTCCCATCAGATGCAAAGGAGATAAACAACTACAGTGGTACCTCGGGTTAAGTACTTACCGTATTTTTCGGACTATAGGACGCACCGGCCCATAGGACGCACCTAGTTTTCAGGGGGGGAAATCAAGGAAAAAAATATGATTTCCCCCCCCGCAGCTCTGGGAGCAGCGGACAGGCTGCACGCAGCCTGCCCGCTACTCCCAGACCTGCTCCCTGCTTTGCGGGAGGTGGTGGAATTCCCCACCTCCCGCAAAGCCCACAGGAGCCCGCGCGACTCCTGCGGGCTTTTTCGACCAGGAGGAGAAGGGACTGAAACGGCCAGTCAGTCCCTTCTCCCTCCTCGGGGAAAGCCCCAAGAGCGCGCGCTCTTTAAAGGGTGCGCGGGTCCTGCAGGCTTTTCTAGGAGGTGGGGAATTCCCCCTCGTAGAAAAGCCAGCAGAAGCCAGCGGAGCCCCTTTAAAGAGCACGAGGCTTTGCGGGCTTTGCGGGAGGTGGGGAATTCCCCATCTCCCCAAAGCCCGCAGGAGGAAGAAGGGACTGACTCGGCCAGTCAGTCCCTTCTCCCTCCTTGGGAAAAGCCCCAAGAGCCGCTTGCTCTTTAGAGGGTGTGCGGCTCCTGCGGGCTTTCTAGGAGGTGGGGAATTCCCCACCTCCTAGAAAAGCCGCGGAGCCCTTTAAAGAGCGCGCGGCTTTGCCTGCTTTTGCGGGAGGTGGGGAATTCCCCATCTCCCGCAAAGCCCAAAGGAGGGTTGGAGAGTAGCGGGAGGGCGTCGCACGCCTTCCCGCTGCCCCCATCCTCTGGGGCTGGCGATGGGGAAGCGCTGCTTTCCCACCGCCAGCCTCGAGCCGGGTTGGAGGGTAGCGGCAAGGCGTCGCGCGCCTTCCCGCTGCCCCCATCCTCTGGGGCTGGCGATGGGGAAGCGCTGCTTCCCACCGCCAGCCTCGAGCCGGGTTGGAGGGTAGCGGCAAGGCGTCGCGCGCCTTCCTGCTGCCCCCATCCTCTGGGGCTGGCGATGGGGAAGCGCTGCTTCCCCACCGCCAGCCTCGAGCCGGGTTGGAGGGTAGCGGCAAGGCGTCGCGCGCCTTCCTGCTGCCCCCATCCTCTGGGGCTGGCGATGGGGAAGCGCTGCTTCCCCACCGCCAGCCCCGCCGCCGGGTTGGAGGGTAGCGGCAAGGCGTCGCGCGCCTTCCCGCTGCCCCCCATCCTCTGGGGCTGGCGATGGGGGAAGCGCTGCTTTCCCCACCGCCAGCCTCGAAGCCGGGTTGGAGGGTAGCGGCAAGGCGTCGCGCGCCTTCCTGCTGCCCCCCATCCTCTGGGGCTGGCGATGGGGGACGCGCTGCTTCCCCACCGCCAGCCTCGAGCCGGGTTGGAGGGTAGCGGCAAGGCGTCGCGCGCCTTCCCGCTGCCCCCATCCTCTGGGGCTGGCGATGGGGAAGCGCTGCTTTCCCCACCGCCAGCCTCGGCCGGGTTGGAGGGTAGCGGCAAGGCGTCGCGCGCCTTCCCGCTGCCCCCATCCTCTGGGGCTGGCGATGGGGAGCGCTGCTTCCCCACCGCCAGCCTCGAGCCGGGTTGGAGGGTAGCGGCAAGGCGTCGCGCGCCTTCCCGCTGCCCCCATCCTCTGGGGCTGGCGATGGGGAAGCGCTGCTTCCCCACCGCCAGCCTCAGCCGGGTTGGAGGGTAGCGGCAAGGCGTCGCGCGCCTTCCCGCTGCCCCCATCCTCTGGGGCTGGCGATGGGGAGCGCTGCTTCCCACCGCCAGCCTCGAGCCGGGTTGGAGGGTAGCGGCAAGGCGTCGCGTGCCTTCCGCTGCCCCCATCCTCTGGGGCTGGCGATGGGGAGCGCTGCTTCCCCACCGCCAGCCTCAAAGAGCAGACTCTCCTGGCTTCAGCGGAGCAACGCGAAGCCTCCGGAGCGCAGGCTTCGGAGGCTCGCGATTGCTATCGCTGAAGCCGAGGAGTCTGCATTCGCTCCATAGGACGCACACACATTTCCCCTTCATTTTTGGAGGGGAAAAAGTGCGTCCTATGGTCCGAAAAATACGGTAACTCGTTCCGGAGGTCTGTACTTAACCTGAAACTGTTCTTAACCTGAAGCACCACTTTAGCCAATGGGGCCTCCTGCTGCCGCCACGCCGCTGGAGCACGATTTCTGTTCTCATCCTGAAGCAAAGTTCTTAACCTGAAGCCCTATTTCTGGGTTAGCGGGGTCTGTAACCTGAAGCGTATATAACCTGAAGCGTATGTAACCCGAGGTACCACTGTATCTGACTTTGAGAAGATATCTGAATGCGAACCCTGTATAGGAAAGTTTTTTTATGTGTGATGTTTTACTTTGGTTTGACAATTTGCTGGAAGACTCCCAGAGTGGCTGGGGCAACCTAGTCAGATGGGTGGGGTACAAATAATAGAATTATTATTATTATTATTATTATTACAGGACTAAATTGCAGGGCGGTCATACATTACCCAACAAAAAGGATCCAACACTGAACTATTTTGCAGGGCTGGTGTAACTTGTACTCTCTAAACCATAAGCCCAGCTCCTGAATAAAAACGATGGCGTTTATCGGTGCTTATTCCCCAACATATTTATTTTTAAAAATAAACTGGGGGGTGGGGCATTAAGTAAGATCTGACTAAGGAAAATCATTAATCCTGCTGTCATTTTTTTCCTTTGATTTTGGGTACAAACACTACTACCCAATCACAGCTACTCTCAAATGCTGAATTTCTGGATTTGCTCTTGCCCTTTGGGGCAGCAATCACTTCTTCACCAGGGAATGAACCAGGAGGTTTTTCTCTCTAGCCTTTTCTTCCTAAATATGAACCATTGCTATGGGTTTTGTTATTGTTCCTGCTGCTGTTTTTCAGGAATAGTTGTTTTTGCTCTGGGTTGAAAATTGATGCCTGGACAGCAGGTCAGCCACAATGGAAGAGTAGGTGTGGTACACGTGTCTTGGGGACCAGGTCTACCCAGCTTGGTAGATTTGCTGCCCAGGCTTCACTGCCACTTACTCAACAGATCTAGTTTTGTACACTCATGCATGTACTTTGCACACACAAACCCTGGAAAAATGGCTGCAGTTGCCTTTGGGCAATGGAATGGGAAACAGTGATGACTTATGGCGCACTAGTTACTGATTATTTGAACAGGACTTGTGCAGGAGAACTTGGAGTGCAGCAAGACCAGTAGCAGAAACTTTATGGTTGGCTATCTATCGTTTTTGCTTTGTATTTATATACTTCAGCCTAGATTGGTTTTTTTTTGTAATATTTAATTTATTGTTTGCTGAACTGTTGATTTTTGACATTTTATATATTTGCATTTCTTACATAGTCTATATATTTGTATTTCCAATGTCCTCTATTTGAATGTTTTCAGCGTTTACTGTAAGCTGCTTTGTGCACAGCTCAATGTGGGAAAGTGGCATATAAGTTAAATCAGTCAACCGATTTCCTGGTGAATTGTGACCATTTGGGAGAGAATAGGGCTTCTTTGGGTAGAAGGGCACGATATACATTTAATAAAATAAATAACTAGCCATTTAGGTTTTCCACATCAGACACCAAAATGCCTTGGATAAGGCATCACTGCTAATTAAACCCTTCTTAGCAGTCATAAGTGCTCTGGGTCTTTATCATGAGACTTTAGTTAGAATTTGTACTCATTGCTGTCTTGGAACTACCCAAGATACCCAAATGGGAAGCAGCTAGTAATTGGTTTGATCTGTGGATGCAAACTTACAGATAATAATAATAATAATAATAATAGGCAAACCGAGAGCTACTTGTGATTTCTTTTTACATTTGAAAGGACCTCAGTGGGAGTTGTTGCCTAGCAACAGCCAGCAAAGACAGATTGTTCCCGTCCAGGTCTGAGCGAGATCCAGCTGCTCAGCCCCACTTCCCTGCCTCACTGGATTTGACAGGAGCTTTTGGATGGCACGATACCAGGGTAGAACCAGGAAGGGGCAGAAAATGCTGCGTGGATAAGGCTGCCTGCTGGACTTGAGAGGTGGGGAACGCTTCTCAGCCCAGGGGCCTCCTTCCCTTGCTCGGTCCCTCCTGCCCCCCGAGATGAGAGCCAGCGTGGTGTAGTGGTTAAGAGCGGTAGACTCATAATCTGGTGAACCGGGTTCGCTTCCCTGCTCTTCCACATGCAGCTGCTGGGTGACCTTAGGCTAGTCACACTCTCAGCCTCACTCACCTCACAGAGAGTTTGTTGCGGGGGGAGGAAGGGAAAGGAGAATGTTAGCTGTTTTGAGACTCCTTCGGGTAGTGATAAAGCAGGATATCAAATCCAAACTCTTCTTCTCTAGTCCTTCCTCCTAGTCCCTTTTGCCTGCTCCGTTTACTTTCTCCTGGTTAGCTGCCTCCCTATTCCTGCCCATTTCCTTTCACTAGACTCCTTTCTTTGCTAACCCTGCCTGACCCAGCACTTTCTCAGCCCAATCCTTTTTCCTGTTTTGTATCAGGAAGTTGACCAAGCACCAGGCATACACACACTCATACAACAAGAAGGAGCTAAAGGTGAGCTGAAGGCAATATGTGCCATTGCTTGCTCTGCAGCAATGCAGACCCCAATACTCCTCTCTTGGCTTTTAATTCCCTTCTCCTCAGCTACCTACTGTGCCCTGAAAAGATCCCAGAAATGCCATCCTATATCCCACCTGCATCATCCACTAAACTAGGGCCCTTCAAATGTTGGACTCCAACTCCCATCAGCCCCAGGCCAGCATAGCCAATGGTCATGGAAATGGAAATTGTAGTTCAAAAATATCTAGAGGGCCCATCACTGCACGAAACACATATTGATAATCTTATGTCCTTGTTTTATTCCTTCCACCTAACTACCTGGCCTCTGCAATGTGTTGAGCTCTCAAACTGTGAATATTTAATTGTTTAATTGTTTGCAGTGCTTATGTGCTACCCGGTAGCAATGTTACCTGGGTGGCTTACAACAATCTAGCATTAAAATGTAATGACAAACCAGCAATAAACAATAAAAAGTAGCACAAAATGTTTCGTAGCAGCAGCAGCAGCAGCTAATAAAACAGTATAATAAGATTCACAGCATTGCTAAAAGTATGCTGCAAATGGGGATTATAAATGCACAGGTCAAAAAATAGTTATGATTCCTAATCAAAATACACAAGCTTTTGCTTTCCACCAGTTCACACATCATGGTAACCAAAACCCTGACTTAGCATAAATGCAAGAGCATGTGCATTCCCAGAGAGACCACAGCTGTTTTGCTCCTACTTGGGTCCTCCTGCTGCATCACTGAGAGCTAAGCAATGGTTTGGTTCAGCATATCATCCGTACCTAGGTTCATGATTTGTCTCCTACAAAAAAACCCACGAGCAGTAAGCCATAAAACAAACCGTGGCTATAGCTCATCATTTGTCTGGAGTAAGGGAAACTATGAGCCCAGGTTCCAATGACACACTAAGCCTAACCATGGCTTAGCTCACAGTGGTGCAGCAACAGGCACTGAGGAGCAGCAAAGCAGCAGTAATCTCCCCTGTAGGAAGGAACCCACATCGATTGGCTTAGCATACCATGTGAACTGGGTCTGTACTGAGTTGCAACTGCACGGGGCTTTTGGACAATCTAGGAAAGGGGTTAGCAACCTCTTTCAGCCATGGGCTGGTCCACCGTCCCTCAGACCATGTGGTGGGCTGGACTATATTTTGGAAAAAATAATAATGAACAAATTCCTATGCCCCACAAATAACGCAGAGATGCATTTTAAATAAAAGGACACATTCTACTCACGTAAAAACAAACCGATTCCCAGACCATCCACGGGCCAGATTGAGAAGGCGATTGGGCCGCATCTGGCCCCTGGGCCTTAGGTTGCCTACCCCTGATCTAGGAGCAATAGGGAACCTTTGGAGGTCAGTCCACATGTCTTTTGTATTGGAGTATTCTAAGTGTTTTCTGCTTGGCTTTTATCTACTTGGATATAATCCTAATTTCATTTAGTTATAACTTCATTAGGGTCTTACATATGTAAAGATACTAAGCAAGATCATGTATGTGGAGTTTAAGGCTGTGGTTTTATGGACAACTATTTGGAAAGAAGTCCCACTGAACAAAGTAGGGCTTACAGTCTGGTCCTATGCATGTTTCTGAAGAACTGTTCAGAATTTTCCAGAAATAAGGCACCGAAGGCACTAGGCAATTTTTAAAAAATGCTATTATGGCAACTAGTTGGTATAGATACATTCGGGGAAGAATTGAATTCAACAAAGCATTTCTTTTTTAGAAAAGAATCACGGAAATACACAAAGCCAATTAATAATCAGAATAAAATACACAAAACCAATTAAAAACCAGGACAGAAACCAGAATAGAGCAAAGCAAATGCCCTTAGAAACAACAGTCAAAATAAATACAGCACAGAGATAGCCCTGCATATTGGGAGGGGGTGGGGGTTGTAGCTGCAATGGAACTGGACCTCCTTCATAGGGCAGCCAACCTTGCCCCCTCCCCACCCAGGATAAACTTTGAAGCAGGCCCTACTATTAGACCTTTATTGCTGCGGATGTTTGATTTCAATCCACCTTGTACGTGAAACGTATGGACTCTGCCCCTCAGATAGGATGGGGGTGGTTGTCTGTAAACTATAGAGATTATATCCTGATGGGCAGTGAAAAGGGAGGGGGCAGTGGTGCCGTGAGGAAATGAGAGAAAGCCAAAATGTGGGAGGGATTTGCAAGAGGATAAAGTGGAAGGAGGCATGCTACAATACAGGGCAATGTTTTGCAACACGAATCACCCAGAAATACTTTGTACTTAGTGCCCAGTATAGGCCAATGCAATGGAAGGAACCCTGTTAAAACAAAGAGCTCCACTTCTAAACATTTAACAAAACCCAAGAAAGCAGATAGCCAAGCAATTCCTGAACTGCATTTCAGTCATCTAATGATGCAGCCAACATGGTAGGCCTGCAATAGGGAGCAGAAAAAGGAACTCATACTACTGCCAATTCAATTCAGAGCCTAGCAACAGCAGAAATGTGGAAATAGGATAGCCAAGCCTTCCTTAAAGTCCATCGCATTAGGACTTCATGGGATAAAAATGAAATAATTGCATTTCCTAACGTAATTACCTGTGCAATCTGACCAGATGCAGGCAAAGGAAGATAGCTGACTCTGGGCATTGAGAAGTTCCCGAAGGAACTTGCCAGTGGATTGTAACCATTCTTAATTACTAAAATAAAGTCACCATTTTGCATTTCCACCTCAAGCACCATATTTTGAGCCACACCTGGCTAAAGAATGGTCAAGGCTGCAGCGTGAGTTGTCACAGTAAAGGGGCCCACGGATTCTGCACCGCATTTGCCCTTGAGAAATTCATTGTTGATTACTTCATACATGTGCATACCCAGTAGAAACAAGCACATCCATACACATCCTCTCTATCCATGTCCCTGTACAATATGAGCACGCATGTGCATTATGAGCTTAAGCCCTTGCAGCATTCCTGCAGAATGATGCTCAACACACACCAGCTCAACACCAGCCTTCAACACAGACTATTCATCGTCTCACAATAGTGCATTTCTTATTATTTTTGTGCGATCTTAGAGAAGCCACATTTCATCCAGGAGAAGAAAAAAAACAAACAGAACAAGCCAAAGCTCTTGCCTAACAAATCCAGCTCCACCACTTCGTTAGGCTCCTTCTGCAACGCTTCTAAGCCAGAGTCAGGGTCAGAGCTTTAACCTTGTCGAGCTGCTTGCCTAGTCTAGTCGGTGCTGGATTTGTGCACAAGCAAAATAAACTGCAGCTTGGGGCCTCAGATTATGAGAGGCCTCTAAGTAAAAAACAAACTAAACTAACCTAAATCTGGAGTTTTGCATAATTGGTTAATGAAGGAAATAGGAAAACAAACTCATTCTGATATGATGAAATATATTCAATGGCTACACAATAATTTGTCATGTTGTGTTTTTATATCTATTCAGAAATAATAATATTGTTTTAATATATACTAATAAATCATATGGTATTTTCATAAGCAAGCAGGCTTATTGCAAGATGTGCAAGATTGTTAGTTTTTAGTTCCATCCTAGCCTATGCATCAGCATGTATACAAATACAATAGTTCATTATTTCTATTTTCATTGTCCTTCTTGTTAGAATAATACAGTCTGGGTAACGCTCAGGGGCCTCTTAAAACTGCCATAGCTTAGGGCCTCAGCATGTCTTAATCCAGCTCTGGGTCCAGAGGCCGCCAACAGCGTGCACACCAGGAATTCTGGAAGACCACTCCCATCCCTAAGCATGGCCATGTTGGCTGGGGCTGAGGATTATGGCTTTGGCCCATGATCCATGACCTAGTCTTTTGCCCTGTAGGTCCCACTGATTTGTTGCAACCCAGACTTTTGGCCAAAGGCCTATGCTGGCTGAGATGCTTTCAAATCCCCAATGAAAGCACCTGCTATCTACACCTGGCTTTGTTAGACCAATTTTTCCTTCCTCTTACAACTGGCTTAGCAAGACCATTCTCCAACTCATTTAGGTGTAAACACATTAGCATATACAAAATTATTCAGCAGGGCTTAGGCCTCCTGGCTCCTATTTGGAAGCACATTCTGCCTATAGGGATACAGTGGTGGTGGTCTTTTGTAGCATTTGATTCTGGGAAACACAGAGATAACAGATCTGCCTTAAGGCAACTCAGAAAGCAATAAAGATTTCTTTAGAAGTCGAGTCCTAGAACCCCTTGGGGTCACCAGCAGCTGGCAATGGCAGTTAACTCATAACTTCCCTATCAAAATATCAAACCCCTCTACCTTACTAGAAGATGCAATAGGATGAAAGCCATACACTGAAAACACTGTGCACAGGAAACATCCCAGAATAAAAGCTCTCTGGCCAACAGAACACACACTCAGGAACACCAGGAAGCACAAATGAGAATTAGGGCTTGGGGTCGAAATCAGATTGTGCTGTGCACAACGATACAAAACCCTTAAAACAGCAGCTACCTAATTCACGTAGTGATGACAGATAAAAGGCACAAACTTATTCTCTGGTCTCAAATATTGTGTTGGAAAGAATGCTTGGATGTTGCTGCAGTTTTGTTTTTTTAAAAATAATCATTGGTTGGGTAACACATAAGAAACATTCAGTACTAGCGCTGGGAAAATGAGAGGTCCCCAGTTGCTGGACTAGAAACTTACAGTAACCACAAACGGGAAGAGGAAAATAGAGCATGATTCATAGTTAGCATCTGCATACAAGGCTGCATATAAAGGGGACTCCGCCTCACCCCACCCTTCCAGCCCCTCAAAGAGGTCGGGTTAAGAGCGAATGGCAACAAGTAATCCGGCAACAACACAGTAAATGGCTTTTTGCACAATCAAATCCATACAGCCCCTCTCGCAGGGCACACCTAACACATCCCTCACTCCTAGGAACATCCTCATAGGATACACACGCATCACATGCCCCTCCTCCATAGGAAAGTACATGCACCGCCACCGCCACATCTTTCCAGCCTGCCTCACCCCCCGGGATACCCAGGGGCGCCTCTTTTCTGTGCACCTTCCACGTCTCCCCCTCTTCCACCCATCATACTTCATCTGCGCGCACACACACGCCGATTCACCGACGACATGCTACGGACGCGAGTTCTCACCGAAAGCGTACGCCAGCGCAGAAACCCGGGTCTCCACCAGCCATGCATGCCCACTTCCTTTACATGCCCAACACCTGAAGTTCACCTCAGACCTGTCCGCTCTTGCATGCACACGCACCCCGTTCGCCTTCCTCCTCTTCCGTGCGTATTCCCCAGCCTTCCCTTGGGCTGCCTTCTGCTCCTTTCCCAAGCACTCCTCGGGGTCTCTCTCCGAAGGAGGCGCATCTACACCCGAACCCGCTGCGCGGCAGCACCCTTTCCCGTGCAGGCGCTCCTCGAGACCCCAACCCCGGAGCAGCAATGCCCGGACAGAGCGCGCGGGGAGGGGGGACCTGGCAAGGGCGAGAATGCAACGCACTTTTCACCCGGGGAAGAGGAGGCGCGCTTGCCGCCTCGGCCATCCGCGCGCAGGAGCGAAGCACGAGCGCCAGCCAGGGCAGCTGCCAGCCTCGCCCGCCCGCGCCCCCCCCCCCTCGCCGCACCAGCAAAACACGCGCAGTCCGAAAAGGCGCTTGCAGGGATGCCACGTCCCCGGAGCCCGCACACAGGCAGGGCATTCCGGGGCAGGGGCAGGCGTCGGGGCGGGGGGGGGGCACACGAGCGAAGCGGAGTTCTCCCCACCCCCAGCACCCAACAAGTGGCAGGAGGCGAGGGTGCTTGGGTCCTGGCCGGAGCCCGACTACTTGCCCCCCTTTCTGATCCGGGAGGGGGCGCACACAGCGCATCGGGGTGCAGCCATCGGGGGGAAGCCAGGCGTCGCCCACAAACGCCTCCCTGTCGTCCCCCCCCCCCCGCTGCTTCTCGCCTGTAACGGGAGGGGGGTAGCAATGTGTGCGGAGCCCTCACTGCCTCCCCCCAGGAGCTGCTTCCGATTTCGGGGGCGCTCCAGTCTCCGCAGATTGGAAAAGATTCATTGAGACCCCGATCCGTGAAAAAATAGGGTGCCGAAAAGGAGGGGCGCGGGGGGGGGGAGAGAGAATGAATCGAATTGGCTCCGGGAGGGAGAGCAGCAAGAGAGGCGCCGCAGCTCGGAGGGGGGGGGGCGAAGCAGCTGGATGCGGCGAGAGGAAGAAGGACCCGGCGCAGGACCGCAGGCGAGTCGCCTGCCGGCTGGAGCAAAAACTTGACCCCCACAAGCTGCCTACCAAGTATCCCCATCCTCGCCCCTCCACCCACCCCTCGCCCGTCCCTCTTCGGGGAGCTGCGCGGCTGCTCGCCCGCCTCTGCTCCCGCCACCCGCAGCCTCGAGCGGGCGCCTGCCTTGCTCGCTTCCCTCCAGCCCGGCGCCCGCATTCCGACACAGCCGCGAGCCGAGCGCGGTGCTCCGCCGCGGGGTCCGCCCTGGCCGCTTCCCGGCTGCCCGCCCGCCCGCCTGCTCGCCGCGCCGCGCTCCCTTACTTCGCGGCGCCCGGGGCTTCCTCCTGGCTCGCCGCTCCTCGCCGGGCATCTTCGCCTCCCGCCGCCTGCCCGCTGCTCTCCGCAGCAAATCCGCCAGCAGCCGGGCTCTCCGAGCCCCCCGCGCCGTCGCGCTCCGCTCCAAATCCGCGCCGCTCCGTTCAGTCCCTTCCACCCGAAGGAAGCCCTCCCTCCTGCCCGCCTGCCCCGCTCGTCCGCGCCACGAGCCCAGCCAAGCAGCCGCTGCTGCCGGGGCGCGCGCCGAGCCGGGCTGTGTCCGAGCCGGAGCTGCTCTCTCGGTGTGTGTGAGGAGGAAGTGCAGGGGAAGCGCAGCCCAGGGCTTGCATCGCCGCCCCCCCCCCCCGCTCCTCGCGCGCGCGCGCGCCGCCGCCGCCGCCTCCCTCTCCGCGCTCGCTCCCTCCCGGCTGGCCTCCTCCTCGCCGTCGTCCTCGCTGCCCGGGGAGAGGGAGGCGGAGCTCCGGCGCCTTGGCAGAGCCGGTGCCCAAGCCAAGCTCCGCGCGGAGGTGGCCGCAGCGCCAGCGACCCAGCCAGCCTCGCGTGCCTTAGCCGAGCCCAGCCGCGCGCTCGCTCGCTCGCTCGCCTCCGAGGAAGGGGACAAGCTCTCCCCGAGCGCCTCCGGGAGCATCATCGCGACCCGCGCGCCGCCCGGCGGCTCCTCGGCCACGGACTTGCCTGCTTGGGGGGAAGCGATGGGCAGCCCCGCGCTGCCCGGGGAACTCGCCGCGAGATGCCCGCCCGCCCCGCGGATTTGCAGCCCGTCGCTGCAGCTGCCCGAGCCGCGAGGTCGCGCGCTGGCGCCCGGCAGCGGGAGGCGTCCCACTCGCGGCGGCGGCGGCCACGGCCACTAGGGGCGCGCGAGGCCTGCTCCCCACGAGGCGCCGACGAGGCCTGCGCGCCCGCCTGCCTGCCCTGCTGGCCGGAGCCGCTTGGAGCGCCGCGCCGCCTGCCCGCCGTTCGCTCTCCCCGCGTGACTCCCGCTGACCTTGCCCCCGCCAGTCCGCGCGCCCTGCCCTCCTCCTCCTCCCCCGCTGTCCTCGCGGCCGGTTCCGGTGAGTCACCCGCGCGTCGCCGGCTGCACCTGCCGGGGGAGGAGGGAGCGAGCCGGGACTGCGCACCTGCCCAGCCGCCCGCTCGCCCTTCCCCCTCGCCGCCACTGCAGCAACCCCGAGGGGGCTGGCCAGTGCCAGGCCGCTGCCCCTCGGGGATCGCGCGGCGGAGCTGCCCTCGGGATCCGTCTCCGGAGAGCCGCTTTCGAGCAGGCGGCGACCCTCCCGCAGGCCCGTTGGGGCGGGCGGGCGAGGGGCTTCCAGGGAGAACTCCGGGCTGGCGAGGCCAAGATGGTTGCCAGCTGCCCCGGCATCCAGGGCGGCCGAGAAAACAGCGGGGACTCACACGCGGGGAAGCGGCTGCCGAGCGCCGGCTCCTCTGCCCCTTTAAGCGGCGCGGGCCCTGCTCTGCCAGTGGTCCGGATTTCCAAGCTGGCTTCTGGTCCTTTGCCAAGGACTGAGCGCTCGTTAACATTCAGCCTGGCGCTCCCGGTGCCAAGCTGCCAGGCTCCAGAGATTCCTGGCTCTTGGGCCCCTGCAGGCCGGCCGCGTCAGGCAACTCAGCAGGCGCCTTGCGGAGCCCTACCGGGGTGGGGGGCTGCCGGGCCGCCCTGCTGGCGAGCTCCCAAGTCCGCACGGTGTACTCTCTAGCATCGTTAGGAGTAGATTATGGGCAGAGCCAACCTGTTAAAAACACGTGTTGCTTCTTTCCTGCAGCTCCAGATTTTTTACATGCTGCTCAGCTCTATGAACCTGTTGCGCAGCGCAGCCCCCGCGTTCCTTCTTCCCATACATGCTCCATTCGCCTTCCATAACCCACTGCACCATCTAGAGGCTGCTTTGTCTTTCAATGGAATGACGGGCTTTATGTGAGTTTGAGTCCTTGGGCTGTGTGTGTGTGTTAAAAAGAGAAAGAGAGAGTATCTCTGCATCTTCCTGGGAGAGAGGGGTCTTGTGAGGAATGTGAATTTCTTATCAAAAGACCCCCCCCCCCAAAAAAAGAGTGTCTCTTAAGGATTCCTGCTGCTCCTCTTTGCTCCTACTCATCTCTCCAGGCTAATCCTCCACTCCTTGCTTGCTCCAGGCTTTTCTGCTACTGCCCACTGCTCTGGAGCTATGTTTATCCCCCCCCCCCACTTTTGTTTCATTTCATCTTAAATTAAATCATATCCAAGGCTTGAAGTTTGCTTTTCCCTAGTACATCACTCGATGCTGATGTTTGGAAAAGCAACGCACTGCAGTGGAACTGGCCACTTCTAGCTTTTAAGTTTGATCTTCACCCACTAGTGAACTCTGACCCCAATTAGGATGGCGTTTGCATGTTCCCATTGTAGCTACAAATCTGGCTAAGGTAATGTGCCTGTTGCCCAGCCCAGTCTCAATGGACTTTGCTCTGTTTACTTTGTAGGTAGGCCTGCAAGGCTTTGTTTGCATAAGATACCAGGTAACTGGTGTGAGGCTGCACCTGCGTTAGAGACTGGGGAAGGGTTATTCTAGTTGGGTGTTAAGACTAGGAAGCATGCAGCTGGTATTCAAAAGTTACCTTTTCCCTTTTATTTTCTGTCTGCTTCAAAAGCTTGCTGGAGCATCAAGGACGTTGATGGGTTGAGATCATGTTCAGCTACATGGTCTTCCCAGAAGCACAGTACACTTCCTGTTCCTGTTCCTTCAGGTGTTTCCAGTTCTTAAAAGAGAACTGAATGTTACTCTAAGACAGATTTATGAGGAGAGAAATTGAAGTAGCAACGTCCCTCCTCTTAACTCACACAAGAGTCAAAAGGAGGGAGGTTGTCACTTGAATGGCCCTCCTTCAAAATCTGTACCATTAATTAAATCCCATTAATTTCCTGGTGGGTGGTGTTCAGAGGGCTGCATTTGTTTATCTCACACCGCAGTCCTTGAATGGCATGATCCTCTGCATTTGCCACCTGAGGCAGCTCCTTGCCTGCGCCTTGTGGGTACAGCTGCTTATGACTGAAAAGGCCCTGCCCATGTCCTTCAGCTTGGTTCCTACTGTGTTCAAGGGGAGGAAGCGAATCTTCGTGAAAGCGTGGGTGATCCTCAGAAGAGCGACTCTCAGCATTGGCTTCTCTCCCTCAACCACCCGCAGGTTTTGATGCTGCCCCTTCCGGAGGACACTGGGGAGCCCAGCATGGCGCAGAAGAGTCCGTCAGCCCTACCTTGCTGTGGCACATTGCACAGAGACAGCTGCAGTGTGGTGCCACGGGGCCTTGTCAGGAAAACAAAGTCTGTGACGGGAGAGTAGCCAGATAAATCTCTAGAAAAGGGGAAATATAGGAGAGCAAATGAACCTTACATGAGAATAAATACTCTTCCCCCAACACAAATGCTGCAAACCTGGCTGCTGGTTGCTGTGAGCTGTTTCAAAGGCTCCTCTGTTCTCTCATCAGCTCTGGGCTCCACAGGAGGGGGGAGGGAGAGGATTCGGGCAGCTAATGCTAATAACACAGATGTTCTGACAATTCTCTCCTTCCTACAATTAAAAACAAAAGGCACTGAAAAACAAACATGAGGAAATGAGCAACATGAAAGACTCTAGGCTTTTTTCCCTCTTCCCCCCATACAGTATTGCTCCTGCAAACAAATACAAGGCAAAACAAAGATGGGTGTCTCTGTGTGGCAGCCTGGGCACCATGCTAGATCTGAGAGCAGTGTTGGTTTTTCAAGCCAGGTTCTAATAGTATCTAGGGCACACTTGGGAAGATGCTCTGCTGATATGAGGACCGCCTGGGCTGCTTTTAAGAACTGACAGTACCAAATGGGTGGGCAGAAAGGAACCACTGATTGGGGAGGGGGCTCACACTAAGGGGGCTGGGGAATAGACATGAAATAGACAATGTTATGGTGGTGGTTCAAAGACACAGTGCTAATTCCTGGGTGTTGATTGTGATGACAATCTCAGAGTTGCCATACTGATCAGCAAGTATAGGCAGGAAGTGTGCCAGTTTGGGGTCCTCAGATAGAATGCATGTGCTGATATTCTTGTATGATATTCACATGGATTTGGGGTGTGGCATCATCCTGAGTCCAGGTTATAGTCAGAAGGGTGCCAGACATTGTGAGACCTTGGGCTGGGGTTGTCAGGAGAGAAGGTTTTGCATTGATTTGGGGTGGTGGGTTTTTTGTTTGTTTGTTTCTGTTTTTTGCAGCATCACTCACATATTGGAGTGGCACCAGGAAGGTGTTCTTGTGTAGGTGTGATTCCTGTCGCACTGGGCTTTTCATGGAGGCCATGATGTATGCTCTTCCCTGGAAAGCTTTCTCTCTCTCTCTCTCTCTCTCCTTGCCTGTAGGATACATTCTGCCAAATTATCAAGAGGTTGTTTTTATTACTGTTTTAACTCTTTCTTTAACCTTGTTTTTCTCTCTGCTGCACTTTCACTCACTCATTAATTTTGGTATTTTTCTCACGGTATATAACCCCTGTCACGGCTGCCATGGCAACAGGAGGGAATGCGTTCAGTGCTAAAATATCCTCTCAAAAATAACAAAAATAAGAAAACACAGGCAGCTTGTGTCAGCCACTGCAAATGCCAGTTTGATGCAGACCTTGCGGTGATGGGAGGAAGAGGAAGAGGCTGTGAGCTAGAGGAGAATTCCTGTTATTAGCCCAAGGCCCCTCGAGTCGTGGTCTTGTCTGAAGATTACCAGATGCAGATGGCTCCACCCACTGAATGAGAACCCTCTGAGTTGATGTTGCCCTTTCCCGCTCCCTTTGATGTCAGTTTTCCTTCCTGACTGTTGATTCCCCTGTTCCTTGAGAAGCAAGTCCCAGAAGGAAATCTGGAAGAGAGGGAAATATTGGCTGCTAATGGTTACATCACTGGTTTGCTCATGTCTTTCAGATTTCCCCCTATGAGCCTAGTATTCCAAATACCAAAAGAAGATGCCAGTCCTTTTTAAATATTCCCTGTACAGTATAGGGTGCTTCTTCGGCACCCAAAATGAAGCAGCATTTCTGCTCCCACCCATTCAGTCTGCCAGCTCCCTCTCCTTCGGGTCCTAATTCGTTACCTTGGCCTTTGGAGTGCACACAGAATGCAGAGCACGGACCAAGAGGAGGAAGTGAGGGACCACTGCCCCAGGGGAAGGGAATAGCCCAAATTGCTCAGCTCATTTTTCCTTCACCACATAATACTTCATACCAAAATCTAATAAAACAAGAGATTTTTTTATTGGAGACATTTTCATGGGGGGAAAAGGAACACAAACATCTGAGCCATGATGGCTATTCTTCCTCCATGGTTGGAGGCAATGGATTGGGTACCACAGCTGGTACCAGATAATATCTGCTGCATACCTTCATTTCTATGGCGCTGTGCAGAGAACAGGACCTTCCATGTATGCAGTTCTTGGTAGACCACAAGGGAGGCCTCACCAGTCCTAGCAGCAGGGTCCTGAGTGCTCCCAGCTGTTCCTCAGTGCGGTGGACAACCACCTTGTTCTAGTCAGGTTCTTGCACCTTTGCAAGTTCCATGAGAGGCAGTTCTATAACAGGCAAAGAGATACGCAGAACAGAGATGGAGTTACAGGCAATGTGACCCCTCCTGTCCTGCTGTTGGCCATGCAGCTGTCAAAGGCGGAAGAGCCCTACTGGAGCAACCACTTGGCAAACCCATACGCGTGTCGCAGAAACCCCCTCCCCATCCCTGGTGCTGTTCAATAAAAGTTTGCATCTTTGTCACAATGAGTGAGCAAACAAGGAGTCCATGCCCCCCTCTTCGTGGTAATTCATTGTTGCTACAGATGAGTGTCATGGGACATTAACAGGAAGGGGAACCAGGGACTCCGTTGCTACTGCAGGGGTCACTGTTAGTAGCTCTTCTACTGTGGGTATGGGTGATTCATTCTGTGTTTTTTGGAGAGGTACAGAATACATTCTACCAACACTGCAACAGTGCAAATGGCCTGCTTGAATAGCAGAACCATAAGGCTGTCCATTATATCTTGAGAACTATGATACATGGCAGATAGCATTTAGACTTCCAATGCCATCTCTAACCCTGAGGCCCTGCTTTGGGCAAGAGCACAGGTAAGATCCCTCCATTAACTTACCCCATGTTTTATAGACAGTTGCATTTTGCATGGTTAGAGCACATTCCTGGTAAGCAGTAATCCATGGGACACTGCTATGGGGATGATAACAATCCTGATCCACCTTACAAGAAACTTGGAAGGATTCTTGAGTGATTCTTGAAACACAGGGAGTACTTAATTGTTAATATACTACCAAGAACCAGAGTGACAGGTGATAATGAGGTAATGTCTTCCATCCCCACAGCAGTCTCCACCATGGCAAGCAATGGGGATTACAGTTATAAGTGGAAAGGCTTTTTTAAAATTATTATTAACCTGCTTCAGCCTTAGGTAGCCCTAAATAAAGAACCCCTCAGTGGTGTTTACTTATGTGCAGAGATGCTCAGGTGGGCAACCTTTCTGGGGTGGCCACTGTACTGAAAAGGCTTGCGTTGGCATGATATTTGGAGGTATTCTTGTTTGGAAAAACAAGTTACCAATGCAGTAGAGTCCGCTTCTTAAATTTCTAGGTATCTTGTTTGCTGTAATGTAGCCTTATACCAATGGATGAATCCAGTTTACCATGCTTCTCAGTAACAAAACACATAGTTGCTTCCCAGCCAGCAAGGTCACATAGATTAATAAGGTGGCATTGTGGAATGATTTGGGGCCCAAGAAGGACAGGGGTTTATTTATTAATATAAGCCATACTCTTTTGAAATCTCTTTACGGTTGTTAACCATGAAATAATATCCAACTTTCCTGCCAGTTTAGTTTCATTTAACCTGTGAGGTACTCGTTTATTTTGAATTTGTAAATAAAGCAGGATATTAAAATAATGCTAATTGCAATGCTCATTAAGAAGAGCAAATTATGCAAAGTGTAATGTAATGTAATTGGGTTAATCAATTTATCTTCAGCCCATAACTATTGTTATACGACAGAGGGGTTGCTTTGGTTGACGTCAGTGGCTGCCAATCAAGCCTGCGATGTTATCTCTGCAGGACTGCTGAACTGGTCAAACCAGTCTCTTTATTAAGTTTATGTCCCTGGGATGGGCCTGTATGCACTCCATTTACATGCCTTAAGAGCTGGGAAAGGACAGGTGTGTCACCACTGCAACAACTGGTTGGTGGTGCTATTTCAGGAGGGGGTAGGCCTCCCCCTTCACTCTGCTAGAGGTTACATCATCTAGGAGAACAAAAAGCCAACGGGTAGTCTTCCCTTTAGTTTGGGCTGAAGCTGCATGGGTTTTGCTCTCTGTACTGAATCAAAAATTACGGCTTTGGGGACATGCCTATAAACCAAACAGAGAAGCCAGAGCTGTTTGAGAGTTCATGCTGTAAGCCTTTCTATCTTATGCTCATGTCGTATATATGTGTGAATCAAATCACAAATCCTAAAGACATTACAGTCTCCAGTGATCTTCATTCCAAGGAAACAGAACCCTGGGTGAGAACTGGAACGGCTGGAGTCTCGTACCACTCAGAGATTGGGGTGCAAGCAACAGCATGCTCAGGATTTCTCAAAGTTAAAAATCCATTCACATGTTTGCGTGTGAAGGGGACAATAGTCATAAAAGAGTATGGTGGAACCTTTGGAAGTGGGTTCTAGTATATCAAAAGAGACTAGCCAATAGAAGCAAGATGGACAGGAACAGGATGCTAGGAATGAGGAGGGAGAATTCCCCCATCCGTTCTAAGGCATGAGCTGAATAATGGCCTTGGTTCTAACTTAAAATATGTGAATATGTGACAATTCTCTGGCAAGCAAAGGCATTCTTGGCACCCTCTTCCCCTGCTGTCAAACTCCTTGTGTCACACACATGAGTCACACATGATCCCAGACGAGTGAGCAAATGTCAGCCCTTGTAATAGGTTTTGTGCTTAGATGATGCTCAAAGCCAATGTGTTTCAAACATAGATTCTGTGGGTAGCCTTCGGCAAGTCTCAGCCCCAATTGCCCACTTGAAGAATGGAATTATTTATTGGTATTTCTATTGTTATACATTTATGAGCCACTTTTTCTCAAAGTGACATGCAGCCAATTAAAATAGACCTTATAACCATGCAGTTAATTAAAGTGATTTTACATAACTTGACTGCTGGGATAGCTCAGTCAGCAGAGCATGAGACTCTTAAGGTTGTGAGTTTGAGCCCCACGTTGGGAAAAAGATTTTCCTGCATTGCAGGGGGTTGGACTACATGTTCCTTGTGGTCCCTTCCAGTTGTTTGAAAGCAATAGATGTAAGGGAGAAGAAAGGCATTAAACTGCCAGAATGCCTAACTAGCTAAAACCCATGAAATGTTTACTTGGGGGTCAAGGTACAAGAAGGGCAGCTTCACACATAATGCTGATCTCAATCTGACCCTCAAAAATCATCAGAGGCAGTGAATGGGGGGGGGGATCAATTTTGGTGATTGTAAAGATGTTTAAGGAGTCCTTCCTTCCTTCCTTCCTTCCTTCCTTCCTTCCTCTCTCTCTCTCTCTCTCTCTCTCTCTCTCTCTCTCTCTCTCACACACACACACCATTGTAAAGCAGTGGGTGGCCATGCAGCTGTCCAAAGTGGTGGCTGTGGGCTGGTGTCCACCATTTAGTTTTTTGCCCTAATGCCCCAGATATAGCTTCATTCCAAGGCACCTGGGCTAGGATGGGGGGGGGCAGCCACTACACGGGCACACAAAGCTGCTATTGGTGGTAGAAAGTTTTTTATTTATTTGCTGCAAGGAGTCACTTAGTGAAAGAGACCCCTTGCTGGCCACCAATGATCTTAAGAAATCCACCACAAATCCCTAGTTCTCCCACCCAGATTTGTGAGCCAAATGTCCTTGAGCCTGCCCACATGTGGCCGTGGGAGACCCCTCTCAGCAGAAAGCAATACATGGGCACAGGCTTCAGCTGGCCAGGCTAAAGGGCTGGATGGCGGAAGGGAGGGAATGGCCTCCTGCTTTCATCCTTTCAACTCCTGCCATGCATTTGGAGCCAATGCAGGCCCTGAATTTGCTAACCGCTTCAGCTCTGAACCCATCAGGAATATGCAGCCTGTTGGAATCAGGGTTGCATTCATCCTCTGAGCTCAAGGAAAGGCCACCACCATAGAGTTGAAACCAAAATGGAGCAGCAGCAGCAGTTCTTTATAGCAGTGAATTCCTCCCACAATTAATAACCAACAGATCTACAAAATTGTAACAGGATTCATGAGTTTCAACTGAAAATTCAAAGCACGTTACAAAGAATCTGTGTGACAAACTGCTCATGATTCCAGTACCTGCCATGTTCCACCTGCATATGCCAAAGCAGACAGGCAGGTGGTGAAAAATGGTTTCTGGTTTAGTGAAGTGGTGTGTCAGTTTGTGTGTTTTTTCCCCTGATGGATGGGAGGGCACTATTTGAATTTTCAGTTAAGGTGCAAAAAATTGGTCAATCCTGCCAAAGAAACAGGTGGTTGTTGTTGTTTAGTAAACTCCTGCACACAGTATTTGCTCTCTGCAGTCATCTTGATCATGAAAAATGTATAACAAACTCTCTCTCTCTCCTCCCATCTCTCTCTCATTGCTCTGTGCACGGGATCTTCTCCAGTTTAGCATCTTTGAATCCCATTAGTCTAGGTATTTACTCTATCTCTAAGATCACTAGGGAAAGGTGTTTAAATAAGATCACCGCAGTTCACAAACAGATACCGCCTCATTCTCTGAAATGCTGACACCTCTCATTATCTTTTATTCAAGATGTTCAGCCAGCTTTCTGTCCAATTGACAGCAATGCATCCATGCCAATGGATTTAATTTTGTGAGGAGGACTTAATGAGACAGAGCATTAAATTTCTTAAAGGACGTCTAAAGAGGAACATCCTACTGCATTCCTTTCCTCAGCCAATCAGGCTCAAATGCTTCTTTAGTGTGTTTGCTGTTTTATAAAAACAGTAAAGATTATTCTTACTTCTATTTAAATTGGAACTTCTCAAAAAGATCAGGTCTGTTCTGCTCATAGTTCTGATGCTGCTATTTGATGATTCATGATGCATACTGTTGTGAGTTTGAGGGGTTTGTCTTTATGATGCCTGAATCTCTTACCATCCCTGGAGAGCTGGACCCAGCAAGGGTTAAACTCTCAAGGAGGATCCCATTGTTGGACTGAGAGAATGCCCATAGTTACCATCTAAGTATGGTCATTAGACTGACAAGGGAAGCTGCTCTGAGCCAGAGGGCAAATGACCTTCCTCACCTGGCTGATATAAAGAAAGATAAAGGCAGAGAGCTGAGCTGGAAGGAGGCAGAAGCTAGGAGCCC